TAGCCCGCTGTCTTTCAGCCCGTTTAGCCCGCTGTCTTTTAGCCCGTTTAGCCCGCTGTCTTTCAGCCCGTTTAACCTGCTGTCTTTCAGCCCATTTAGCCCGCTGTCTTTCAGCCCGTTTAACCTGCTGTTTTTCAGCCCGTTTAGCCCGCTGTCTTTCAGCCCGTTTAGCCCGCTGTCTTTCAGCCCGTTTAACTTGCTGTCTTTCAGCCCGTTTAGCCCGCTGTATTTCAACCCGTTTAGCCCGCTGTCTTTCAGCCCGTTTAGCCTGCTGTCTTTCAGCCCGTTTAGCCCGCTGTCTTTCAGCCCGTTTAGCCCGCTGTCTTTCAGCCCGTTTAGCCCGCTGTCTTTTAGCCCATTTAGCCTGCTGTATTTCAGCCCGTTTAGCCAGCTGTCTTTTAGCCCATTTAACCTGCAGTCCTTTAGTCCGGGTAGCCCGCTGTCTTTTAGCCCGTTTAGCCCGCTGTCTTTCAGCCCGTTTAGCCCGCTGTCTTTCAGCCCGTTTAACCTGCTGTCCTTTACTCCGTGTAGCCCGCTGTCTTTTAGCCCGTTTAGCCCGCTGTCTTTCAGCCCGTTTAACCTGCTGTCCTTTAGTCCGTTTAGCCCGCTGTCTTTTAGCCCGTTTAGCCTGAGCCCGTTTAGCCCGCTGTCTTTCAGCTCGTTTAGCCCGCTGTCTTTCAGCCCGTTTAGCCTGCTGTCTTTCAGCCCGTTTAGCCCGCTGTCTTTCAGCTCGTTTAGCCCGCTGTCTTTCAGCCCGTTTAGCCTGCTGTCTTTCAGCCTGTTTAGCCCGCTGTCTTTCAGCCTGTTTAGCCTGCTGTATTTTAGCTTGTTTAGCCCGCTGTCTTTTAGCCCGTTTAGCCCACTGTCTTTTAGCCCATTTAGCCTGATGTCTTTTAGCCTGTTTAGCCCACTGTCTTTTAGCCCATTTAGCCTGATGTCTTTTAGCCCATTTAGCCCGCTGTCTTTTAGCTCATTTAGCCCACTGTCTTTTAGCTCGTTTAGCCCGCTGTCTCATATCGCACAGAATGAGTCTGTTCTATTATAGGAAAGATTTATAACAAGATTGGATCAGATGCATTCTTTTTTCACTCTAATATCTGATCCGGTGTCTGATATTCTGTCTCTAATGACAGTTTAAAACTACTGAATCTGTGAAAATGACCCATCTCCTGAATCTATAACAGCAAACTGTGTGTGTAGTATTTACTATTTACAGTCTTAAAAAAAAGACAATTATATTTTACATGTTCAATTAAAATAGTAGATTATTCAGTTACTAATACAATTGATAGTGGCAGCTCTAAATGTTATATTTAGACAGTCTGTGTTATGAGCATACTGAGCTGTCAGTTGACTTCATCTGAGCTAGTCATAGCTGCTTTACCAAGCTGTCGTCTCTTTCAGGACATGTGGTCTGACCAGCTGTGACAAACTTCAGAACAGTTTTCAGAAAAGAACAAATGTCCATCATCATATAATACATGCTGCTCTGTTTACAGCAATGTGTATTATTTGATGACGGTTTTACAGCATACAGCAGATGGCACATCAAACTGAATATGCAACCAAGAGACAGGAGACGCCAAGATTACAGTATGTACGCCTGCGTATGTGAACCAATGTGTGTGTACGCATGTGGGAGCATGAGTGTGTGAGAGTGGGTGTGTGAATGTGTGTGTGTGTATACGCCAACCCCTGCTGGACTCCATCCATATTTCATGAATGATAAAGGTTTCTGTAGCTGTGTGCACCTTTCAGAGATGAGTGCTAATACATAAGCATTCCACTTTAAAGGGAAATTCCATCTTTTTTTTATATTCTGCAAAATGAAATGGTTATGATGTAAACAAAGTCATTCAGACTGGTTTAATGTGATGTGTTCCATTCTAGAGAACCATGCTGAGTAAAACTGTTCACAGTGGTGGTGATAGGAACCACACTTTAATGCCTCTAAAAGCTCCCTCACAGAAAGCTGGTACATAAAATTTGTATGAATAAGCTGCTTAATGCCTGAGACATTGTTTTACGATAAGGTTTTGGCCTAAAATGTATTTTTTGATACCTTCTGGGCAGAAAAGCACACGCTTTCTACATTTCAAGGCAAAATAGTCCATAAAAAACGTATTTTACCACTATTTTACATTACATTACATTACCACTGTTACAAATCAAACCCGTCTAGGTTCAAAGGTTATATTTACACTGTGGACTCAGTAGACATAGTGACCCCTGGTTCTATTCAGGGATCCAATCACTGTAAAGAATGACAATGATGAATTTCTCTGCAATAATAAAACACTCTGAATGAATTTGTTTACATCTCAAACACTGAATTATGGGGAAATTTTGCAAAACTGGTGGAATTCACCTTTAATGGGTTCTGTAGCATTTATCATTAGCACAACCAGCCACCGCCACTGCTTCTGCTTATCACCAGCATCAATCTTAAGCATCTTATCTTCTGCTACACACAGCCCTCTGCAGTTTACACAAAGAGACAGAGGCAGTTATTGTTGTTGTTATAGTTGAGTTATTGTCGATGGTTCTCTCTTGCACGCTCACATCCTCCTCCTTTCTTTTCCCTTGGAGGGACTTTTGTATCTTGCTGTTTCTCTGGCTTTTGATTGTTTTCCTCTCTTTCTCAATTTTACATCTCTCTATTCCTCTCTTTCCATCCACATGTTATAAAAATGATGAACTGTATCCTTAAAAATAAAAGTATTATCTCGAATCAAAAAGGATCTCCTTAAATAAACTCTTTTGTAAATGAGACGTGAGTTTGAGGAACCTAGTTAAAGTTTAAAGAATGTTCTGCATGATGTAAATGTTCTACACCAAGATTTTTCCTACACACTTAAAAGAGATGGTGCTTTAAGAGTTCTTTAGTAAAGAAAATGGTTCTATATATATACATGAACTCTCAAAGAACCATTTGCACAATTAAAGGGTTCTTTGCATTATGAAAGGGTTCTTCAGACTGATAAAGAATGTGCTGCAGATGGTTTTATATAGCATCTTTTTGAAAAGGGTTCTATATAGCACCAAAAAGGGTTCTTCTGTTGTTACAATGTCAAGCTTGTTACAGCGTAACGTTTTGGTGCTATATAGAACACTTTTCAAAAAAATGCTATATAGATCTACAGCACATTCTAAATCAATCTGAAGAACTCTTTCATGAGCTCTTGAGACAGATGGAGAACCATCTACAGCATATTCTCCATCTATCTGAAGAGCTCTTTCATGATGCAAAGAACCCTGTAATCATGCAAATTGTTCTTATATGGTTCTATATAGAACCATGTTCTTTACTTTTCTAACAATCATCTTTTTTCAGTGTGTTGCACGGCACAAATAAGCCACCACTTACACTGTTAGAAATAAAGGTTCTGTGCAGGTACAGTTTAGTACCTTTTTTTTTGAGTGTAGGAACCATTTTTTGAAAGTGTGGGCCAAAACCACAAAGGAAATCAACAACTACAACGAGATAAAAAACACTTTAGGTTCCCTAACCGTTCAGTAAGAGGGCCTTTAGAGAACCATCTTTATTAAGGTTTAATGATTCAAGGAAAAACCCTTCAGTAGGCACAGAACTTTTACACTGTGTGAAGGTATATTTTCAACAATGGCCCTGTAGGGAACCAAAAGTGTTCCTTCTACAGCATCACCCTAAGAACCTTTTGCAGCAAGAGTGTAGTTCTTCATGAAAAGTGACATAAATCTGTTTTGGTGATCAGGAACTCAGACACTGATTCCTTTCAGACTGATGGATCTCCTAAGATTCACACTGTCTAACCTGAAATAGGTCAGTGAAGGCATGCTCCTCTAAATCTGCAGCTCAGTAAAGCTTCTGGGAAGGCTTCTCACTGCGTGCTAACTCAGAATTCCGAGTCCTCTGACTTTTGCTGCCACTCAACTGACTTCAAACCCAACGAGATGCCCACGTCCACTCGTTTGCCCACGGGAAATGGCCGCCCAGATTTTGATGGATTGCTCATCTGCCCTACTGCTTCCATTTGACAAGATTAATCCCTCAAAGTGTCAGCTACTGTCACAACAGAATCACCCTGGACATCGAAACAAAACAAAAACTGTTTATGCGTCTTACAATCTGTCTTTTACAAACACATTTGGGATATTTGATATTTTAATGATCTTTTAGGTAGTGATATGCACGTTTGAGCCAAACTTTGCATCAGATTTACTATGCAAGAGCAAAAGCTCAGACCTCCAACATCTCCTCAACATCACAATATCTAACAGACAGACAAGGCCCTAAACTAGAGAAACTACTTAACCCTGTTGATGGAGAATGTATTGTTGCCTCAAACTGCCACAAAAACACACACACACACACACACACACACACACACACACACACACACACACATCCGACTGACTTCACACATATATTTATATATATATATATATAAATGTATATATATGTATATCACATTTCTTCTCATGCATATGTTAGTATAGCATATTTATGAACTTACATAACACATACAAATCAAATTTGTACTTTTGTGTGTTTAAATATACAGAACACATTTACACACATACATACGAAGGACATACAATTATACAGATAAGAAATATTTATGGGAATTTTACATTTACAGACATGCAGACAAAAAAGGAAAAGAAAAAGAAAAAAAAAATCCATATTGAGCTCAATACAAAGATTCTCTGGATTGCAGCATGTGCCAGTACAGCAGACAGTGCAAAATACCAGTTCAGTCAAATTGCTGGACATACACGAGACGAAATATAATACTACTGAAGTAGCGTCATTTGAAATGTGCGTTAATACTTAATCGGTGATCACTGAACATTTTTTCCCTGCCAAATATGAAGGACTAATCACATGCTGTACCCCAGACCTCAGTGTGTACAGAGTCCCCATCTTATCATCATCATCATCATCACACCTGCAGTAATCCACCTAATTCAACTCACTGGTCCATTATACAGAGGCAACAATGAAAATTCAGTCTTACCAACGCCATATTTTTCGTGTTCAGTCGGAATCCACATTTTTTCCCGCAATCTAGCAAATAAAATGCATGCTATAAACCGGGGTAATTATGAATGATACAGTCCATATTGTTGTCCCATTGGCTTTCGCTGTATTGTTCGGAGCGCAGACGCGCAGCATCCCACATACAGCACATTTTCCCAGCCCCGTGTAAAAAACAGGGAGGGTTCATGGGAGATGGAGTATATGAATGACAAATGGAATACTATAAAACTACAAGACCCATAAAGCCCTTAGAGAGCGTAGAGACGTTGTGATTGGTCGGTGCGCGGTTGAGTACGTCACGTGACTCGGTTACTCGGAGATGGCTGCCATGAAGGAGAGCGCAGAGTTAGCAGGTAGCGTTAGCCACCTTGCTACATTCTGTATGTTGTTTTACTCCTGTTTTACCTGTTAGTGGTTTAAGATAAACAGGTGTTCTGTCGTTCCGTTAACGTCTTTTTGCGAAGCTTGTTAAGTTGCGGTGTGTGGGCAGGTTTGCCACCTCAGCCCTGTCAAATCCCTGGACACTCGACCAGTGACTTGATTTTTACTAAGATAACAGTGGATGTGTAGTTAAGCTCGGGATGCAGTCTAAAGTACACTATTGTAAAGATGGTTATTCAAAGGTTCTCTACTAAAGGGAATGGTTCTATTTAGATACCTTTTCTGTGTTATATAGAACCATTTTCAGCACGTTTCCATCAATCTGAGGAACCATTTCACCCTGCAGAGAACCATTTAAACATGAACCGGTTCTATATAGAGCCCATGGTTCTAATAGAACCATTCCCTGACCTGGTCTTGCGTTGAAATACTGCCTAGTGCCTGAAAATGTTACCAGCAGTGCGCCCCACATTGAGGGTAATCTCAACCAGTCAAACTCATTTTTGTGTACCTTTACCTTAAAGGAGAATTCAACCAATCTTTCAGAATTTCTGTTTAATTCAATTGCTGAAATGTAAACAGTCATTCAGAGTGGCCTTGTGTGAAATGGTTCATTGTAGAGGCTCAGGTTTCTTTACAGTAGTGGTGATAGGAACCAGGGGTTGCCATGTCTACAACACAAATATAGCCTTTTTATTTGCTATCCAAAACCACCAGTGAACGCACACATATCTTTTGAGCTTTTGTATGTAAAGCTGATGATGGTAACAGCACCCTGCACCCTTTACCATTAATGGATTTGTAAATATGTTTAATGAATGAAAATCTTCTTAAAGCTTTCGTAAAACAACAATATCAGGCTGTGAATTCATAACCATTTCATGTAAAAACTTTCTTTGAGAGAGCTTTTAGATGTGGATGTCTGGTTCCTGTCACCACTGCTGTGAACAACTCAGTAAGTTTCTCTAGAATGGTGCATTTCAAAAGTAAACCACTCTTTTATAACATCTTAACCATTTAATTATGCAGAAACTTTGTTCCCCTGTAATAAGAGTTGCTAACATATGAAACTGCTTAGATTCCTAGACATTGTGTTCATGAATGGAACTTAATTTTTCCTGGAAAGACAACCAAATCCAGGACACTGCAGGAAAATCATAGATGGGAGGCAGGCTCTGTGTAGAGAAAGTCTGGAAAAGCATTCCAGCCAGGCTGCACTGATGATGCTGTAAAGCACTAGGGAAAGCTAGGGATGCACAAGAATATTGGGTGATGTAGTTTAGTGGGTAGTCAGCCTAATTTGACTCCCTCCCTATACCACCACGCTATACCACACCAGTATGAGTTTTTGGGTAAGGCTCATAACGCCTCCCCTGTAACATGAGCACAATTGTAATGCACTCGGGGTAAGCGCCTGCCAAATGCATAAACATAAATATCAGAATCATATATTAGTATTGGCAGATATTTGCTTAACAAAATATTGGCACAGTATCTCATGACCTATCGCTGTTGTCGGAAGAAATGACAATTTCCACAATGGCAGTTATACAGGAAAAGGAAAAAAACAGACTTTTTTCCAAGTCATTTTGAGTCATTTCTTTTAGTCCATTCATCATGAAATTTACATACGATGTGAAGGGTAACAGGTATTTTCAAATTATGTCAAAAACTGAAAAACATCAAAAATGGAGATACAAGGTTTTCTTCCGACAACAGCAATATATATTATGTGCATCACAATATTTATTTTTTCTGAGGCTTCATAAGTTGGAACAGGAAAAAACTAGTACAGTCACCTTTAAAAAATGCTGTCAAGCACAAACCTTTTACACACTGCACTAAATACAATTAACCAGACTAATTATCCTCTCTTTGTCAGGGATCTTTGTGATGTGATGTATTTTATCACGATAACGATAAAACAGTCATACTGCCCACCCCAATTTGTAACCCTATAGAAATAAATGTTGAATTTCTTTGTAATACTGATCCAGGTAGTCCCAGTTTCCACATTTGTATAATGTTTATGTATGGGCAGATATGTACATGAGCAGTATTGTACTTTTGCATCGGCGTATCTCTATTGGAAATAGCACTGTCTGGTGCTGTTTTTTTGGGGTTTTTTTTACATTGTTGTCGGTGGGCTTGTGTTCTTTAATGGAATTATGAAGTGTATAAACACAATTTGGATGCCACTCTGCAGAAAATCTGCAAAGAAACTCCTCATAATGATGTATAAAGATATAAAACTCACCAGCCACGATTTGAAAGATCAGGTATGGACGAAAACACAAAGCCTCTAAGTTTTAAAGCTTTTATTTCCAGCTGTTAATTTCACATTGTCAATTTATACATAAGAACAATACATGCTTATTATTAGTGTATGGAGAACAGTAGGGCAACAGTAAGTGCAAATAATTCTGAGTGGACGGAGTTCAATCCAGTACATGATCATGAAGCGAACATGTATTTCAAATTAATTTGAAACCCCGGTTTCGAACATGAGTTCCAGCAGAATCTAAACATTTGAGATGATCACGCTCATTTATGCCATCAGTACTTTTTGGGCCACTGTATATACGAGGGAATGTGGAGAGTTCGTTCGTGTGAATGAGACTGAGGGAGGGCATGTAGGGCTGAACGATTATGATTTTTACATCGAAATCACATTTTGAAAGAGTGCACTTTTTGAATCACAAGAGCCGCAATTTTAACGATATCATCACTGAACTTCGTCTTATGTTTTAGTGGGGAAATTATCTTAATAACCCAAAGCTTGTGGTCTGGTAGACTAGCAGCCTGGATGTGCTGGTCTTCTAAGCAAAAAAAAGGCCTGGAGCTTAATTTATAGAACAAAATCGCATTTAAATCGCAATATTGGTCAGAAAAATTGCAATTAGATATTTTCCCCAAATCATTTGGTTGTTGGTGAACGTGCGGTATGTGGGTGCATTAATGAGAGTGGGGGAGTGTATGTGGGTTCAGGTTGACACAGTGATGCAGTCTTTTCAGCCTCTGCCCCTCAGCTGTGCTCCAATCACCTCATTGAGAACATTGCGCTCGTGCTGCACACTCGTCGTAAGAGCAGTGAGAGCAGCGGGGCTTCATTCACTATGGATGAATCATCTGCTCTGGTCATAGCTTAGGCGCAGTTTGAAGTGAGAGAGTACTATAAGGTGCAATTACAATGGAGCCTGTGACAGGTTCTTAGAGAAGAGGGTGATGTCATGTGTGTTAGTGTGAGTCATGATTGAATCATACATGAATCATGGACTTGTTTATGGCCAGATGATGTCCATGCTGTACGATACAGTGGTGACCATGTGTCAAATGTGGGATTTGTTCACATGTTGCAAATGGGGTGTATCAGAATCATATAGGTATCATCACATATTTGCTTAAAAAATATGCAGCCTGACAGAAATAAATGTTTTATTTCTCCATAACGCTAATCCAGGTGGATCTGTTCCCAGTTTGTGCTGTTTATAATGGTTTATGTTTCTGCACTGGTACATATATACATGAAAAATCTCAGATATCTGCATCACCTACAATCCCCATATTACTGCATCCCCAGTTGCAAATGTAAAATTTATGTTTGTTCAGAGTCAAATCACCACAGACTGCAGTGCCATGAACAAACAGAGGATCAAGATAAGAATGTCTCATCCTTAATAATGAGGAAGGAGCTTTTTCTCTCCCGATTATAATAGCTAAATTCAAAATATCTGATTCCAGTACCTGTGCTCTGTTAGGGCACTTGTGTTTCATAGTAACAAAGTAAACATATTAGGAATTTATGGGGTTTAACTGCACAGCCCCCTATAGATTATTTAGATTTTTTCAAATTATTAACAAAATATTTTGTCAAATTCACAGTTAATTCTCCACAGGGTGTCGTCTGCAGTGAGTCAAAGTAAAATTCCAAGTTAATGATGCATAATTCAGTTTAATATAATATGGCGGAGTCCCAATTCGGCACATTTTACAATACAGAAAAAGTAAAAATATGAAAAAGTGAAAACAGCATTATGTAATATGTTAGTTAAGAAGTAGCATAACTGAGTATGGTTAAAAAAAAAATATGGTGACCGTGCTGCTGCGAGTCACCCTGTAAAGACTGAAATAATGATTTCAAAGTCAGAGGTCCTGTGATGGATTTGGCAGGAGATAATATCACACATATTTGCATATTAACATCACATGCACATGCTCAAAAAGAAGGTCCAACTAGATGTTTAGGTCTCAAATGCAAAATCAACATTATGCTGATGAAGATATGATGACAAAAGTAATTAATTCACTAACAGCCTCAGAGGAAACTTTCTCTTTCTACATACTCTTTCAACACACTCGCAAAAAAAGATTTATCTTGTGGGGGACTGAAGCACAACCAGCATTACAGAATGTTATTCCGCACATGTGCGTGCAGTTACATATTTCCACCAGAGAGGTCTCCAAATTCTCAGATCCTACATAGTGTTGGTTTAATGTTTCCATATTTAGTTTATTAGAGCATCTTGCGTTATAAAAGTACAGTATATGATGGCACAGCAGAGTTTTACCTGATTTCCTGAGACTGGTTTCTTAGCAGCACAGAAAGACTAAACAAAAGCTGTGCTTTATAAATCTTATAAATTTATAAATCCACAAGCTAATATGATAGTACAGACACAACCATGATACAGTATAATTCAGTACAGTGCGATACATTGAGTGCGTTTACATGCACGCAATAATCCGATCATAATTGGATTTCTGCAGTTATCCAGTTATTCAAACGGTTGTGTAAACGCCATACTCCGATCTAGAAATCCGATTAAGAAATCCAATAAAGAGAGCTGGATTTTAGCTCAGTAATCTGATTTCTCAGTGCATGTATACTCGTATACTCAGCGCTGAAACCAAACATGAAATAAAGCATTTAAATATTCTTCATCTTCTACATGATATATGTTCATATTTTCAGGCAAAGTGGCGCGATGTTTTAAAAAATAAAATGTGGCATGAAGTTTGAGTTTTATGTTTACATCACGTCTTCTGTGAATTTATTGGCTGGATGCAAAGCAGAAATCTGATTACTGCCTGACTCATGTAAATCCGGAGTTTCCCATTATCTGATTACTGAAGAGCATGGAAACACGTTGACCTGGTTACTGATAAAATCTCATTTTCTGCAGTTATCGAATTATTAAGTGCATGTAAATGCACTCAGTGTCTTGTTACACCCTAACAAGTATACAGTGGAAACTGACGTACCACTAACACAGAGATGGTCATACACCAAAATTCTATTTACGTCTATTAATTTTTTATTATGTTGTTCTAGAAAGTTCATTAAACTGACAAATTTTGTGACCATGACTAAGACAGCAGTGTTTCCCACAGGTCTGAAACAAACTTAGGGGTGCATCATGTGTGTGGTGAGGGAAATAAGGCATTAAATTAGTTAAATTGATGTTAAATCTTCCAAGCTTATTGTTTTTAGATGTGAAGCATCTCACGGATTTGGGATTTCGACTAACTTCACCCAAGTTGGACCTTTTTCATACTATTCCCTAGTGGAACACACCTGCTTTCATTTTTAGGGCCTTTTAATATCAGCAGTTTCAGGCACTCCCATTGCAGTGTTACTGGTTTAAATTACTGCAGACATTAAATCTTCTAAACTCTCTTTGCCTCTTTCTCTCACCAGGTGGGCAGGATTGTATTTTGGAGCCGTTGTGCTTTCCTGAGCAGCTGAGTGGTAGCGTTAGCCTAGCCTCCTGTGTTGATGGCTGTCTGGTGAGCTGTGTGCTTTGCTCGCACTCGGCTCCTCTCTCTGATAAGGACCAGCTCCTCAAGCATCTGGTGCTGGACCACAAACTGGTCATCGCTGACATCAAACTCATCGCTGATTTCCCAAAGTACGACCTCGAAATCTCCACCTACCTTTGATGGCCATCCAAGTAGATTTATACTCTACTTTGGATTTGGATTTTCTTTTAATTATACCCCTATTTATGATATTTCAAATAGTTTCATGTCTGCTTGCTTTGTCTATTTAGTGTGTTACCTGGAAAATTTGGGTACATTATCCAGACAAATTCCTCATCTGTGTAACATGCCTGATAAAATAGAACTGATTCTGATTCTATAGTCATTGTAAGTGAATGATGATCCCTTCATAAAGTCAGATGGAATGCTGATATTGCACCATTAGTAGCAATGGTTTTGGGAAACATGGCCCTTTTGATTGTGGCTGCGTATTATCAATGCTATTTGATTTAATGCTATAATTAAAAGCCTTGGCGTTCTGTTGCAGGTACATGCTATATTGGAAGAAAAGGTTTACAGAGCAACCCATCACAGACTTCTGCAGTGTCATCAAGACCAACTCTGAGGGACCTGCTGGTAAAACAGACTTTCTTCATTTCTTTTTGCTCTGACAAGATGGACATTTTAGAATTATTTTGAAAAGTAGGTTGAATGAGCTGAATCATTTCATTGCTTGTAACGGTGTAATCAATCTGAAAGTGGTAATGTTAGAATCAGTTAAAATTGATTACAATATTCAGTCAAATATGTGTACATTTTTGGCCAAATAATAGTAATATAATAATGTAAACCCTCTTAAAAAGCTTGGTGTATTTTTTTGGTCCTGTTCAGATTATCAAGCTGAAATGGCACTGATTATTTGGCTTAATTTGACACTGTGTGAACACATAAATCTGATCTTTTAAAATCAGATCCGAACCACTTTTATGTATGGTCCTAGGTCAGATACGTATCCAGTCCATGGCCATGCAACCTTAATGAGAACGATCATATAGGAATTCATGTGTTGTTTTTCACTGCACATGCACCATCATTCAGTGTTGCCTGGGCAGCAGTGCTTAACTTAGTCCCAGTAAAGGCTGCAAAAACACTTCCTCTGACCGTTTCTCATCTTCGTCTTACTCTGATAATGAACAGCTGAGTGCTGTTCAGAGCACGTTTTCTTTGTGAAGAGGCTTGTTCTGCTACTTAGTTTGCTGGTATTCATGAAGCATGTGTTTCATTCACGTTACGTTATTGAGTTGGATGTGCGCATGCGGATCACTTCTACACACAGTTTAATTTAAACTTAATGACCGATACGACTCACTTACCCATACAAATGTGAAGTGAGAAAGATTGAATCTGAGCAGAAATTCGGAATTAAGCAAAGAGGCTTGTAACATGAATGTGGACCTTATCATCCATATTCGATTATGTGTAAATAGTTAGTTAGTAGATTAGTTCAGTCATTAGTTCATTTTTGTATTCAGGGTATTTAAAGACTAATTATGAATCAAACAAAAAAAGCCTAATTGTTTCCTAAAGGATTGAAATCATATTGTTATGATTATTACTGTCATATCAGAGCTTTATTCAGTCAGACCTACCGACAAGCCGCTTGCATGCCAGGCTCATTATTTGCTACTGGTTGTATTGCAGAGCTGCAGGAGAACTACTTCCTCCTGTGTGACGTTCTGCCTGAGGACCGCATCCTTCGAGAGCAGCTACAGCAGAAACGACTGGTGCGTATTCACTCAGCCTCAGCACACAGACCCAAACACCCACCAGGCCCAGTGTGAGAGCCTCTGACCCTGTTACGCTGATCTGAGATCTATTATATGCAGCTTTTGAGTTTGAGATTGATACCTACAGTTACTGTGATACCAGTGGAAATCTCACTCCTGCCAGAGTAATGTGCTGATATGTATGCATGTGTGTATGTATTTATTTATTTTACATTAATGTTTAGACAACATAGTTATTAAGTATTTATTACCATGCATTCAGTAGTAGAAGATGATAGCAGTTCTTGGGGAAAAATGATGATGAGATATTAAAAAAAACAGCCCACAATATTGGTGTGATATTTGGCTGGTTCGGTGAATGTTATTTGTCTGGTAAGTCTTATGAAAGCGATTAATAAAGAGCACGCAGAGAAGCCTGAGCTTCAGCTCAGATTGTTTCTGTAGGACATAATGAGTCAACATCATCATCTCGCACACATCTCCGGGAAAATCTGCGATAGTGGTTGCTAGGCAACCTGTATTCCCATCACCTCCGCAGCCTGTACTGCAGCGCAGCGACCAGCTGTTGAACAGTGCTACTGTGACCTTCCTTAGGCGTTCGCAACGATACACTGATAAAACTTCAGTCGCCGATGTTTAATTATACAAATTTATTCTGACCTGTATGTTAATGAAGACTGTATCGGTAGTTGTTATTTATGATGATCTAGTTTTGTGTATAAACAACACCAGCTTTTGAGGAATTATTCATCGTAATCTGACTGGTACTGCTGTTCGGGTATATTACCTATTAAATAAATGTACAATTAATTTAAAAATAACACCTATTTATGTCTAAATTGACCTTATTTCAGCTGATATTTTGTGGATAACACAGTGTGTTAGTATTGATAAATTGTCTGGTGTGTGTTAAACAGGAGGAGGTTCTTGAACAGCAGCAGAAGGAAAGAGATGACACTAGTTTTCAACGTAGCTGCATGTTCTGTAATGAGGAATTTACCGGAAACAGGTGAGAACTGCTGTCAGATGCCTCATGCTGACTGGCCACCTTATAAAGATTTCTTATTTCCTTTCAAAGAACTACATGGATCCTCAGTACAAATCTATATGCAGTCTTGTTCTGTATAATATGAACACTGATAATGCCTAACTACAGCTGCATTTGTGCTTTACTGTCCTGCTGCAGGTCAGTGCTGCTCAATCATATGGCCAGAGAGCACTCTTTCAGCATCGGCCTGCCTGACAACATTGTCTACTGCACTGAGTTCCTCGATGCGCTGGAGAGGAAGCTGGACAAGTAAGCCTTCAGCTGCTGAGCACACAACTGCAGATTACTGCAGAGATACAGTAGATCTTATTAGATTTTCATGTGCTTTTCAGTGGAAATAACAGGAAACATTGAGAACAGCACCCTCTCCTGGTGGATAGATTCTGTCATGGAAAGCTGAACCTACAACATTGATTTAATGAGGAATTACACAATAAACTATACAAAATTCAGATGTTAAGATGTTAAAAAAAAGTCATTTAGAGTGGTTTGATGTGAAACTTGCTGAGTCAGAATTCACAGTGGTGGTGATAGGAACCAGACATCTGAAGAGTTTAATGCCTCTAAAAGCTACATTACAGAAAGCTCCTACAGGAAGTGGTTATGAATGCACTGCCTGATGACTCAGACATTGTTTTATGATAGTTTTGAGAAGGTTTTGCCTTAAACCATGAAATACCTTCATAATGGAGCGGTACATGCAGGGCATTCTAAGGCAAAATAGTACCTGACAAATACCATAATACTAGTTACCACTATTTTACCATTGTCAGCATTACATATATAAACTCAGAAGATGTGAGTTCACTGGTCACTGTGAATATTAAATAAAATTGCAGTATTAGCACTGCAGACATCGCAAACCCCTGGTTCCTATGAACCATTGTATGGAAATCCAAGACTACGGCCTTGTTTACATCTCAGCAATTGAAATTATGCAGAAATTTTGAAAAATCTGTGGAATTACCCTTTAATGATCCTTCAGTATTTTTAACCTTTTGTTCTTTTCAATATTTTGACAGCATGCAGTGTCTCTACTGTGAGAAAACATTTCGAGACAAGACAACCTTGAAAGATCACATGCGGAAAAAGCAACACAGAAGGATAAACGCCAACAACCACGACTATGATCGCTTCTATGTCATCAATTACTTGGTATGTTTTTTGCAGCGCATATGTTTAATTCCAGTCACTGTTAGGGAAGCTTTTTGAAGGACAGTCATTTTACAGAGAAAGGAAAATTACATATCTGTATGTACATATCTGCTTATATTCTAACATTATTATACTGAGCGATAAAAAGTGCATTCAGGCCACAGGTTTGAGTGATTGAACTAAAAGCTACAGTTAGGAGTGTCGAGCTTGTAACGTGAGCTGTGGTTGGTGCAGGAGCTGGGAAAGACCTGGGAGGAAGTGCTGTCTGAGGATGACCGAGAGCTGCTGGAGGACAATGATGAGTAAGAGAAATCTCAAATCTGTCCTTTACATGTGCCATATAGCTTTGAACTTAATATATGTGAAATGTTATGTTAATATTGTTTTTTTGTACAATGGTAAATGGTGCTATTTAAAATTTAAATATTATAAACTAAATGCCAAAGGTATTTTACAGCACTTAAAATTAGCATCAAACAGTAGGTTATTACGCTGAAACTGCTCAACACTCTATGACCCCACAAGAAGAAATACACAAATAACAACATCACAATCACAGAGTGAGAGTGCTATTTCAAGATGGATTGGATTGGATTAATTTTTTTCCCCTCCCAATATCCAATCCAATCAAATCTCTTGAGATAAGATTTGATCACTCCTTTTAAAAGCTTTCTGCATTGTTTTCGATTCATCATTATCATATTATTATTATTATTAGTAGTAGTAGTAGTAGTAGTAGCTATAGTAGTAGTAGTATTGTTACTACTACTATTACTTTTATTTGTTCCTTTATATTACTACTATACCTGCTTTTTATATATTTTTGTATAGTTGTTCTTAATTTTTAGCTTATTTATATTTCTTTTCCTGTGTTTATGCTGTTGTGATCATAGTTAAATTATGATTATATACACCGATCAGGCATAACATTATGACCACCTCCTTGTTTCTATGCTCATTGTCCATTTTATCAGCTCTACTTACTATATAGGTGCACTTTGTAGTTCTACAATTACAGACTGTAGTCCATCTGTTTCTCTGCATACTTTGTTAGCCCCCTTTTACCCTGTCCTTCAGTGGTCAGGACCCCCATGGACACTCACAGAGCAGGTACTATTTGGGTGGTGGATCATTCTCAGCACTGCAGTAACACTGACATGGTGGTGGTGTGTTAGTGTGTGCTGTGCTGGTCTGAGTGGATCAGACACAGCAGTGTTGCTAGAGTTTTTAAACACCTCAGTGTCACTGCTGGACTGAGAATAGTCCACCAACCGAAAATATCCAGCCAACAGCGTCCTGTGGGCAGCGTCCTGTGACCACTGAGAAAGGACTGGAGGATGACCAACACAAACTGTGCAGCAGCAGATGAGCTGTCGTCTCTGACTTTACATCTACAAGGTGGACTGACAAGGTAGGAGTATCTAATAGAGTGGACAGAGAGTGGACAGAGTGTTTAAAAACTCCAGTAGCACTGCTGTGTCTCATCCACTCGTACCAGCGCAACGCACACTAACACACCACCACCACGTCAGTGTTACTGCAGTGCTGAGAATGATCCACCACCCAAATAGCACCTACTCTGTGGGGGTCCATGGGGGTCCTGACCACTAAAGAACAGGGTAAAAGGGGGCTAACAAAGTATGCAGAGAAACAGATGGACTACAGTCTGTAATTGTAGAACTACAACATGCACCTATATAGTAAGTGGAGCTGATAAAATGGACAATGAGCGTAGAAACAAGGAAGTGGTCATAATGTTATGCCTGATCGGTGTGTCTTCTTGGCCTTCTAACCACCTGTAAAGCACTTTGAGCTGCATTTATGTATGAAAGGTTCTGTACAAATAAAGCTCATTATTATTATTATTCTAAGCCTCTACTGTGAAATTTAACCATTGTTCTTTGGTGTCTGCAGTGATTGGTCAGACTGGCAGGCTCACCCGGTGTGTGCTGTGTGTCTGTTTTGCGAGCAGCAAGAGGAAACTATGGAGAAGATCTGCACACACATGCAGGTCAGATTCCCACTGTGCATCATTATGCATTATAAATATGATTCTGCCTGGAGTCAAATGTCAAACACTTCACATAGTGAGCAAAGGTTTCAGATATAATGGATATACATATTTAGATAGGATAAAGATGCCCTTTATATCTAATGGAAAATAAATATGTCTAACAAATATAATTAGATATGATAAACTAGTCTTTTGGAATCTGGCTGGCCTGGATTTTCTCTCCATTTAATTATTATTTCATTATGTTGAGACAGTATACATTTTTTTGTTTGTTACAGGATGCTCACGAATTTGACCTCCACAAATTAAAAACAGAGCTCAGTAAGTATATTTAAACCACTGCAGCAGTTGAAGTGAGGATCTCCAGGAAATTCAGCTCAGATTTATAACGGTGTCATATCTTCCTGTCTAGATCTAAAATTTTACCAGCAAGTCAAACTAGTGAACTACGTCCGCCGTGAGCTCCACCAGTGCCGTTGCTACGGATGCCAGAAAAAGTTGGAAACCAAAGAGGAAGTGGTTCAGCACATGATGGAGGAGGGTCATATGATGCAGATTCCAGATATATCACACTGGGACCAACCACAGTGAGTGAGGAGTTAAACAGCAATATGAAAAATCTTTATTTATGTAGCAATTTTCATTTTAGTTACACTGTACATAACCCTTAGAAGTCAATAATAGTCTGGAGTTATTACTGTCCTTTTGCTTTACTGATTAAACATAATTACATAATTAACCACATGACCCTGATGAACCCAGTACTGCGTCTCAAAAAAAAAAGAAAGCCGCTCCTTTGAGTCTGCCACAAGAGGAGTTATGTCACGTGCACATACCTGTTTTTTCAATTTGAACAAGTAGAATCGGAGCTCATTCAGAGAGCAGGTTGGATTGGTAAGAGCTTATTATTGTTTTGTTTAGTCAGAGTAACGCTGAAGCTAGACTGCTGTGCCAAATCCTTATTTATGGGTTTACTTGTTCAGAAATGTAGTTTGTGATTCAAACTGAATAGAAATCTCCAATTTTTCAGCATTGTTAGATCACATTCTTCTCTTATCAAATAAATGCAACAATATGATTCAGAAATCATGTTATTATTGGAAAAGAGGAGATGAAATGGCAGATATAGGTACTTTATTTTGCATTGGCCTAAAAGGGTTAATTACATTGTTAGCTAGATAATGAATTACATTTACAGTTGATTTATATTCATTGTTTTCATCAGGTCTGCACTTTTTTTAAAGGGCCCATATTATGTAAATTCTAACTTTATTCTCTTTATATAAAAGTTTAATGTAATATGTAAACAGCTGTTAAAATTTACTGGTCCTCCCCAGTCCATATAGTCCATAGCTGCAAAAGCAGCCCATTTTGAATTTACTGGTTTTGTGATGTCACAAAAGCCAACACATTTGCAAATATCCACTTATTCAGCATAAACAGTTTTGCTCTGCCCATTTACACCAAAGTTATAAGGAGTGTTTCAGCCCAGACTGCTTTTGAAAAGAAGCAAATACAGGGCACCCAATCAGAGCAGAGCTCATTTACATATATCACTTTTAAAGGCAGTAACAAAAACAGTCTGTTTAATTGTAAAGGAACTGTAAAAATGAAATTATGACTTTTTAATCTCACAATGCATAATCTCACAAATATTATAAGTGGGGAAAAAATTAAAAGACAAGAAAAATGCAGGATATGGGCCCTTTAATCTTAAAAAATGACCAAAACATAGCAAAAATATAAAGGATGTCTTTTCTTTCCACAAAATGAGACTGTACACAAATTAACAACTTTATCAAATTCAGATCATAATGAAATATATTTTGCTGCTGTCAGAACAGAATCTCCAAAATGGTAACTTTACAGGAGAGGGAAAAAACATACTCTTCTTTTAATGTAAGTCGATGGGACCAGACTTTTTGTCCAAGTAATTTTGGGTTGTTTTTTTTTTTTGGTCCATTCATCATGAAATTTGCACACAATGTAAAGAGCAACAGGTATTTTCAAACAATGTCAAAAACTGAAAATCGACAAAAAAATAGAGATACAAGTTTTTGTTCTGACAGCAGCGATTTTCTTCTACTTGCACAAATGTGGTATGGATTAAGAGTTTCAACAGAATATCTTCTTTGTCAGTTAAATATGAGTGTGAAATAATCAATAAAAAAAAGTCACTTCTAAAGGTTAACAAATGAGTAGTATGAGAAGTTTTCTGTTTATTATCTTCATGCTTCACCCTCCCTCTGTGTGCAGGTACTATTTCCCTACATATGAGAATGATGCCCTCCTAACAGCCCTGTCGGACAGTGAGGGCGAGTCTGAAGGAGCTGACCACAGCTCTGATGTCCCTGTGTTTCCTGAGGACATCTCTAACCTGAAAGCCATAAAGCAGAACAGTGTGCTGAGCAAGCTCCTCAAGGACCGAGGCAGCTCCAGCTGAAGCCACCGAGCCACGTTCACACAGACTTTTCAGAGTGCAGGTCGCTCATTTGCAATGGAAAGTGCTCTCTCTGATGCTTATTGGAGCCTGTTGCACAACTGCACTATGATTCATTTATACAGAGCCTCTATTGATGTTGCTGTAAACTGAAAATAAGGGAGTGTTATTCATGCTCATGTTAGCTGGTATCTTGCTTGCTAAGTGCCACTTTTGGCAAGCAAGTGCAAAAAGCTACATTAACGAAACATCAGAATTGATGACAAAAACTGTTGCACAAGAACTGTTGTGCTCTCTGAAGATCACCTACGTCCATGTCCATGTTCCAAAAGGAGTTGCTAACTTTTCATGTGATTCAAATTGAAAAACCTCAAAATAATAGAAAAGGGCTTTCTACTTTATTTTTTCTTTTCTATATTGATTTTTATTACAGTGACATTCAATACAAAAATATTATGTTCATTTTTCCTCCAATTTTCACCTCCTCCTGAGATGCGCATGGCACCGTGAATGACCTACCTGTTCGGCTCTCAAAGCTCTCTCAGTATATTTATGTTAAAAATGCAATCGTGGAATTGAATTGGGAGTGTAATTAAACCTTATGTCACAGATATTTGAATTAGGTTATAAAATCTGTCTTACTATAAACATTGTTATTTTGGATGCACAACTTTTGAGAGAAATGGGTAAATATTACTGAAATACACAGCCACCCCCCTGATATATGATTTTCCTTATTTCAAATTAAAGTGAATTCTACCGATATTTTCTGCATAATTAAATGGTACAAATATAAGCAAAGTCATTCAGAATGGTCTGATGTAAAATACTGTGTTTAAGAGAAACTCACAGTCAGAATTGTTTACAGTGGTGGTGATAGGAACCAGATGTCTAAAGAGTTTAATGTCTCTAAAAGCTCCCTTACAGAAAGTTATTACATGAAATGCTAATGAATATGCTGCCTTATGCCTAAACATTGAGTGTGTTTACATGCACTCAGTAATCCAATCATAATCAGATTTCTGCAGTTATCTGATTATTCAAATGGTCATGTAAACAGCATACTCCAGTTTCTTAGATCAGAGTAAGGTCTAGAAATCTGATAAAGAGGCTGGATTTTAGCTCAGTACTCAGATTGCTCAGTGCATGTAAACTCTTACTCTGATTTCTTTCAGATTTCTCACTCTGCGCGTGTGTTTGCGCTTTTAGAGCGACGCTGAAACCGACTACATGCTTGACGAAGTGAAGGACTTAAATATTCTTCATCTTCTAGATGATGTATGTTCATATTTTCAGGTAAAGTGGTACAATGGTTTTAAAAAATAAAAAAAAGCCGCAGCATGAAGTTTGAGTTTTCCATTATGTTTGTCACGTCTTTGAGTTTATTGGCTGGTTGCAAAGCAGGAATCTGATTACTGCCTGACTCATGTAGACCCAGAGTTTTCACATCATCTGATTCCTTAAGTGCATGTAAACACGTTGATTGAATTACTGACAAAATCTGATTTTCTGCAGTTAATGGATTATTAAGTGCATGTAAACGCTCTCATTGTTTCACGTCTAAACATTGTTTTGAGGGAAGGTTTTGGCCTAAACCTGGTTTAAAAAGCCATTATACTGTATACATATAGAGCACTGTATTGCGAAACAGTCCCCATATAAAACTAATTTTGGTATGTACCACTGTGTTACCATCATCAGCATTACATATTAAAAGTCTGATTCACTCGTCATTTTGGATAGTATATAAAATGGCTATATTTAAATTTACATTATAAAACTGGTTCTTGCCACCATCATTATAATGAAATCTGAGTTGGTAAGTTTCTCTGCAATGAACCAAATCACTCTGAACGAATGCGTTTCCATCTCAGTTATTAAATTATGCAGACATGTTGAAACACTGATGAAATTCCCCTTTAAGCCTGTAAGCCATGTCCATTTAGAGCCATTCACTGATTCCTCTTCTGGTTATTTCTCAGCCTTAGTGGTCTTTGCTGGAGTTCTGTTCTGCGGTGCTTTGCCCAGGGCAATCTGTCGAATGGATGATCCAAACGTAAGAGTGTTCAGAGTCTCTGCAGCGTCTTTCACATCAGGACTAACATGCACAAACACACAGACCTGTAACACAGACGCCAGAGGCAAAATTCCAAATCACAATATCAATCGACAAATACATCAAAGATATACAGTCTAAGCTGATGATAGAGAATAGCATCATAATAAATAATAGATGTTATAAAATATGTTATGAGTGGTTGCTAAAGCAGACTGACCTTAGCGTCTCCGCTGAGACAAGGCTGGAGGAGGTGAGTGAGTTTAGAATTCCTGTACGGCACATGAAGAGCGTTAGACTTCAGAGCGCTGAACACCTGCAGAAAACAGAAAACAGCAGTGTTATTATGACGTTTATAACAGTGAATAAGTCACATCAGCTTTCTCATTACTAAAAATATTTATATAGCATGAGGCACCTTTGGGTAGAATGGATAAAACAGATAAAAACTTTCTAGTCAGTCTTGGAAAAAAAACAACGATAAACCTGAAAGTCGTCTTTTAATATATTATGATGTAAAAATTGGCAGGTAAGAGTTTGTTGGTACTTTTATCCAAATAAGACAAGGGTGTCCCATCATTTTGTCTTGGGGGACCAAAGTGCAGTGTTTGTGTACACACACACACCTCCTTGTATCCACACTCTTTGTCCATTTTATCAGGCCAATTTACAATACAGGTGAATTTTGTAGTTTTACAATTACAGACTGTAGTCCATCTGTTTCTCTTTCTTGACGTGGTGGTGCTGTGTTAGTGTGTGTTGTGCTGGTGGTGGATCAGACACAGCAGTGCTTCTGGAGTTTTTAAACACTGTGTCCACTCACTGTCCACTCTATTAGACACTCCTGCCTTGTTAGTGCATCTTGTTGATGTAAAGTCAGAGAGAGTAGCTCATCTACATGGTACCTATATGGTAAGTGAAGCCGATAAAATGGACAAAGAGTATAGATACAATGTGCATGTGTATATATATATATATATATATATATATATATATATATATATATATATGTGTATATATATATATTTATATGTTTGTATATCTCTTTGCTGTTGGAACAAAACCTCTAAAATGGTAAATTTAAAGGAGAAAGTAAAAACATCCTTAACTTTTAATGGAAGTTAATGGAAAAAGATCTTATCCTAAGTCATTTTGGAAAACCTCCATTAGTCTATTCATTAGGAATGTTGCTGACCTGTCTGAGAGCCATTAGAGATTTGTTAATGGAGGCTGTTTCTGTGAGCCGCTGGCCAGTAGCTTGTGTTTTAGAGATGCGTTCAGAGCCGGCCAGCTCACACAGAGTCAGTGTGCCTCGCGTGGTCACTCCACAAACAATGTCTGTACGCTCCACTGTGACGATGAGGAGAAGATGAGAGCAGGAGCTGAGAGAGAGAGAGAGAGAGAGAGAGAGAGAGAGAGATGCTGTCTCACTCCTGAAGGTTTTGTCTATTAGACTACTAGTCTCTTAAACATTAAGGGGACAAAAAGCATAGAGAAAAAACATGGGCCTTCTAGGGGAACCTAAGGACTGCCTCGAAAAATACTGCTTTAAAGAACCAGGGTTCTATACTAACTAAAGGCCTTTTTTTAGAACTCTCCATCCAAGCCAAGAACCATTTAGGAACTTGTATTTATTAGAGTGTAATCAAAGCAATCAGAAACCAACAGACTCATTTTACTAGACTGCTGTTACAAAGACTTACAGTAATGGGTCTCAGTGAAATGCAGAATGTATGTTTCCTGTCACTGAATTCTCAGTCTCTGTTTTTGCTCTTCCTTGGACTTTGATAGGGGCTTGATGGGAAACTGTACCTAGAGAGCAGCAGTCCTACCTTTCTATGTTTGCTTCATCTGGAGTGAGGTGTAAGTGTTTGTCCCCCATTTCCATGACACTTAAGATGTCTTCGTCTGTTCTCACCTCCACCTGAGTCAGGCCTGGTACAGTGACTGACCTGCCCTGAGTGCGGATCTCCACCTCACTGTGTGGGTTCTCACACAGGAGATCAATCAGGCTCTCCACATAGATCTCCAGCATAGATATCTAATAAGAATGAAAAATATATATGCCCTTAATGACCATAAACAACTTACACTGTATTGTTGCGTCCCAACTGTATAATAAAAAACTGTGTTTTGAGTATACAGAGCATGTTTTGAGTATTTTGCATGTTTTATATTTACAAGCTGAGCAAAAAAAAAATCAAAAAGCAGGAATTTCCAAAACAAGAGTTCACACAAACACACACACACGTTTTCTAATCCGCTTATCCTTCTGGGTCGCGGTGCTGGAGCCTATCCCAGCGGTCATTGGGCAGAGGGCAGGAAACACCCTGGACAGGTCGCCAGTCCATCACAGGGCAGACACACAGACATAACAGTCACACACACATCCACACCTAGGGGCGATTTAGCATGTCCAATTAGCCTGACTGCATGTCTTTGGACTGTGGGAAGAAACCGTGTATACTTTTCTGTGAAATGTATGTCTGCTGCTTTTTTCCTGAAACTGAAAAATGAATAACTTGTACTTAGTGGTCATTCTGACAGGAAAGCAAATAAATGAATGTGGTATACAGTTGGGGCACAGAAAGTAAGTTCAGGACATTTACAGTGATTTCATTTGGTCTTTAGTTGAACTTCTGGGCAGGGCTGTTTCTGAACATTTGGGAGCCCAAAGCACCATCTTATTTGGAGGGCCCCACACACCCCACCTAGCCCAATCATATTCTTTTTTTATATAAAGAAAGAATGTAAGAAAATATCTGAACTGTGTTTAAAAAAAAATAAATATAAATAAATAAATAGGTCAGGTCAAGCAACTGCTTATACTGCTTATAGCTAGAAACAGTCCTGCCCATGAGTCATTTTAATCAGGTTGTATTATTATTTATACATCACATGGTATAATTTTGCCCTGCGATGGACTGGCGACCTGTCCAGGGTGTATCCTGCCTTCAATTTTTGAGAACAGGGTTGCATGTAGTTGAGTGGTGCAGGTGACACTTTACACTTTATACTGTACCTTAATCGTGTATGTGCAGTTTTCTCTCTCCTTACACAAACGCAGTAACTCTGTGACTGACCTAAGGGCAGGAAAACAAAGGTTGCTCTCGTGGAAACACAAAGCCTTGAAGAAGATAGATAAATGAATGCAATGTGCTCCTTTCTGATTGAATTGTACAGTAGTTTTTTCTCAGGCAGTCTGAGTGAGTGAGTGATTAGTGTTTGCTCCTGAGTCCAGACCAAAGGGGATTGACCCATCACACACGAACACACAGACACACATCTCAGCTCTGGATGGGTGAAGGCGATGATGCTCTCATGCATCAAAATCTTAGGTAACTTAAACTCCCTGTAGAAACCTGAGCTTGTCCCTAGATACAAAAAGAAGTTGGCTATGGCTGTGTTTATCAGAATCCCAAACAATGGGTGAGGATTGGGCTACTTTACACCTCAGCAATCAAATATAACACCACAGTTTGTCCTAAGGTTACATTGTATGGCCTAATGTCTAAAACGCTATAGAGATTTTTAATGAAGTATTTATCAGTGAATTTCCATTCTTATCACTACACTGAAAGTAGGCCTACATACATGGAGCTGGTTCTGCACTTTATTACTGTGTTCACCACATTTTCAGTCTTGTGAAAAAACGTTGTATGCTTTCTTACCAGATGTTGATCCCTGGACTGTCATTTAGGCCCATCATCGTGTAGTTCTTCCCAGAGCCTGACTGACCATAAGCCAGGATACAGACATTGTATCCATCCAAACAAGATGTTATAATTGGTAGAGTCCCATCCAATACTTGCTCCTGTGTGTTGGTTACATGTTTTAAAGTGAGAATTAACATGTTTGTTATTCTATATTTTTCTTGTATTTCCCTGAATTCTAAGATTTGTGTGGCTTTATGTACCAAGACCAGCCATTTTAACAATTATTTTCCAACCTTTCTTTTCTTTTAAAATTAAATAGGCACAAACAATAACAAAAATGCAGTCTGGGTTTAAATGTATGGACCAAGTAGTTAAGTTTGGACAAAAATCCTTGTAGGAAAAAAATACGTTTCAGCTACTCCATTTGCTCATATGGATCCTGGGGAAGGCAGCAGTGATCCATCTGCTTCCTGACAGCCAAGAACAGCTCAGTGTTTAATCCTTTTCACCACATCTAACACTCCAATAACTCTTCTACAGACCACATGCAGTAACAACACTCCTTATCACTTATCACATGTATTGTATGTAAATGTGTTCATGGTTTTGAAATCCCAACCATCACAAATTCAAACCGGGTTGTTTTTGTAGCTTAGTTTTCGTATATGGACTGAATGGACTTTCATACTTACATATGTCAGATTCTTCAAAATAGCAGAGCAAATTTAATAATTAAGTGCCGGTTTTCTGGACGAGGATTAAGCCTAAGACTGGACTAAGTTTAAGTATCAATCGAGAATTAAGTTGCCTTGACAAAGCCAACTTACTGTTCTTTGTTTTATCATTCTATGTTTTTTGGACTGTTTTTATGGGTTGCGGTTATCAAGTTAGAACCACAAAACCATGCAGGATCATAGAGCCTATATGAGAATAGTACACTTGTGCTTTTGGGACTGATTGCACGTACAGTTGGATACCATAGCATCAGCCAAGTAATGCCTTAGCAACCACCTGGAATACCATTTCAAGAGCTTAGCAACAACTGGTCAACTATCTAGGATTCCATAGAAATAGCCTAGCAACACCTTAGTAATCACCTGGGATTACATAGCAACACCTCAGCAACCACCTAGGATTTCATAGCAACGGCTTTGTCAAGCCAACTTAAAGTTCATTGACAAACTTTCCCTTTCTAGTTACCATTGGAGATTCTTTGTAGTCAAGGTTTAGGCTTAATCCAGGTCTGGGAAACTGGCTTTAGGAAAGTTATGGCTCTTTCATACTTTTGCTAATTGTTCAAGACCTTCTACAGTGACTATAAATTTAGAATAAAGTTGTCTTGCCTGAGATGCACTTGAGGAAAAGACACTGTCAAAGACGAACTTCTTCTTGCCTCCTTTCTGGACCAGCAGCAGCTCCTGGTCAGATACCACCTCCAGGCAGCCTGTGGATCCTGCTGAGTCTGACTGGCGCCTGCAGCGGCAGAACACTCGGATGTTCCCCTGCAGCTCCAGAAGCTTGCCGCACAGTGCTCTCCTCTCTGAGGCCTCCTGTGGATGGTTATGAACTGTCAGCAACTCTTACACTTTTGAACTGCAGCTCCAGGCCATTTCTCACATTTCAAGAGAATAAGCACTGAGAACCATCATGGAAATGTGTTTATTCTGCTGTTACAGCATGCTGGCTTCAAAACTTACACTGTGGTTCTCCTTAAATAGGACATATTTTTAGAACTTTAGATGCCTGCCTTTTGGTAGAGGGAGTGGAGCTCCTCCACAGCTCCGTGTGCTTCTTGCTGTCTCTGAATCATCAGCTCTGTCTCAGCTCTAAACTGCTGCAGCTGCTCCTGCATGTCAGCAAGCATGTTGTGCACCGTGGAGCGCAGCTGCTTGCCTGAGACGCTCAGTTCCCGAGCTAAACCGCTCGCCTGCATGTGGACACAGCAAGTTAAAACAAACTAAACATGATTTGTTAGTTTGTACATTACTTACTAATCCACACCTGCTAGACAGAGTGTTTGCAGTTAATACTGTTACTATTGTAAATAAAATATCTGTGGAATGTAAAGTGCTCTTTAAGGTGGTAAATGAAATGAATACTCCAAAGAAATGCTTTTTACTGTGTTGCTTTCAGTGTTTAGACACAGAAAATGGTTTTACTTTTGAATTCATTATATAAAGTTATTTAGTCATGTATGGTACTGTGCAAAAGTCAGAGACCATCCTTTTCCAGTCATTTCTGAAACGTCCATTAAGTAGAATTTATTTACATTTCAGCATCAGGGAAAAAGAGCAGAAAGGACACAAAGAAGCCTCAATAACTAAATATAATATCAGATCTTTCAGTATATGCCTTGGACTTTATTACATACTTGCTTTCAGTTTTTCAAATAAATCTGCAGTTCAGCCTCAGAAGTTGGTTGAATTTTTTGCTTTTCATGATCCAAAATAATTGTTGAGGTCTGGATTTTGGGGTGGTCAGTCTATTACTCGGAGAACACCAGCAGCTTCTTTGTTTGATTTGCAAATCGCTGCTGTCAGAATAAAACCTCATATCTTCATTTTTGTTTTTTTAGTTTTTGACATCATTTGAAAATGCCTGTTGCCCTTTACACTGTGTTCATGATGAATGGACACAAAGAAGTGGCCCAAAATGACTTGGAAAAAAGTCTGGTTCCATTGACTTACATTAAAAGTAAAGTATGTTTTTTCCTTCTCTTGTAAAGTTATGATTTTGGAGAGTACAGTAAACAGTAAAATGTTTTGTTTTCTCAGTAAGAGCTTCTTGACAGCTACACTTCCTTTCAGACTCATGGCGTTGAGTCGTCTTCTCACAGTGGAAGGATGGACAGAAACACCTGTGGATGTTTTCAGATCTGAAGCAGCTTGATTTTCTCCTCTCTCTCAAAGATGAAAGCTTAATGTACTGTTTATCTGATGGGGGCAGGTACCAGACATTGCAGGTGGCTGTTAGGAGGCCCATTTTCTCTGTATGTTTTAATAGTATTTTGAACTCCAGTTTGGGAAACTTCTGTTTTTTCACTTTCACTTTCTCCTTTCATATGGAAGTGGATTATCTTGTATCTAATTTCCACAGAATTAACTCTTGAAAAGTGATTACATTGTACTTAGCAGCTGTTTTGACTGGAAATTAAATAAATTCAGGCTTCTGCGCTTTTGCACACTACTGTATTACAAATGCTTATTCACTGAGTATAGCACTCATTTTCTATAGTAACTGTGTTGAAAGTATTATTTGTGGTATTCAACATGACGCAGTTCTGACAGTTGTTGTGCCAAATCACCTGCTGAAGCTGCTGATGGTCCACTGAAGCTTTAACGTTAGCTCGGGCAGGCGGGACATTAGTATGGCTCAAAAGAGCTCTGAGCTTCTCCATGGCAACCTGCTTATCTGCCTCCAGCTGGACCACTCTGCGGGTCAGATTCTGCACCACATCAGATAAATGCTGAGACTCCTGAGACAGACAGCTGCTTCTCTGCAGCAGATCCTCAGCCTCCTTTTCTTTCAGCTGGAGCCTCTGCTGGAGATCTTCAATGACCTGATTCTTTTCAGAATGACTCCTACAGATTGTATGGAGATTTTCACAAAATACAGTCTTCAGTGTCATGCCAGGCCAAATAAAAGGCTCTGACTCTGAACTCCTAATGATGGGAATTAACCATGTACTACTCATCCAGTGAAGAATGAAGCTTTTGAAAAACATTTCGGGAAGTTTTTTACCTGAATAAGTTTGAATCAGGATAAGACTGTGCCCCTTTATGCGGCTCCAAGAGGACATCTCCGAATATGGTGAGGTAGATGGAGATGACCTCATCTGGATCATAATTACACTGCCTGAGTGCTGCAGCAATCTCTTTCTGGTCCGCCAGTCCTGGGAGAGCTTTCTGGAATGGACAGATTAACAGGGGTCAGCAGTCTTATTCACAATAGGCAGGTGTGGCTGAGGGTGTTCATTCCAATCAAGCTGAAGCCCACCTGATTCCACCTGTACAATCAGGTCTTCAAACTATTTATTAGTTATAGGTGTGCTCTTGCTATACTGTGCTGGTTGGGGTTGTTTGTGGCCCACACTTCCAACCCTCACTCTCATATCTACAGTGCTGTGAAAAAGTATATGTATATATCACTCCTTCCTGATTTCCTCTACTTTTGCATATTTGTCACACAAAATGGTTTCAGATCCTCATACAAAATCTAAGAACATGAGAAAGCACAAAACATAGATATTAAATGATCATTTCATTTACTGAATGAAAGGTTTTGCAACACCTTTATCACCCATGTGAAAAAGTAACTGCCTCCTAAACTTGGTTGTGCCACCTTGAGCAGCAAGAACCAATTGCATCTACAACTGGAAATTGGTCTTTCACATCGTGGTAGAGGAATTTTGGCCCACTCTTCTCTGCAGAATTGCTTCAATTCAGCCACATCAGAATGCTTTTGAGCATAAACTGCCTGTTTAAAGTCCTGCCACGGCATCTCAATAGGCTTCAAGTCAGGAAGTTTGACTAGGCCGCTCCAAAACTTTTGTTTCTTTTGAGGCATTCAGAGGATTCAGAGTTGTCTTGCTGCATAACCCAATTAAACTTGAGCTTTAGATCACGAACTAATAACCAGACATTCTCCTGCAGGATTTTCTGGGGGGATAACAGAATTCACGGTTCCATCATTTAAGTCACCCAGGCCCTGAAGCAGCAAAGCATCCCCACACCATCGCACTACCACCACCATGTTTACTGAGGAATGTTGTGTTAGATTTACACCAAATGTAATGGGACACTTGTTGTCCAAAAAGTTCCACTTCTGACTCTTGGGGTTCATTAAGGTGTTATTTGGCAAACATGAGACGAGCCTTTATTTTGCTCTTGGTCAGTTGTGGTTTTCGCTTTGCAATTGCTTCTGTGGATACCATTTTCACCCAGCCTCTTTCTGATGGTGGGATCATAAACGCTGACATTATCTTAGGCAAGCGAGGCCTGAAGTTTTTTAGATGTTTGTCTGGGTTCTTTTGGGACTTGACTACAGGGGTTGTTGCTTTTGGAGGAATTTTGGTAGCCAAGCCACTTCTGCGAAGATCAACCATTGTTGTTGTTTTCTCCATTTGGATATTATGGCTCTCGCTACAGTTTGCTGGATTTCTTCTTTCTCATTGCTTTCAGAACTTCTTTGGATCATGGCATAGTGTTTGGATTCTTGAGACATTTTAGCCTATTCCACATGTCTGGGTGGGTCTAATTTAATTCTTCCCTATTATCAATTAAATATGGTTAATTCGTTGATTGAGTAACTAAAAGTGTAATTACTTTTTCACCCAGGGCCAGCTGGTGTTGAATATCCTTTTTCCTTTAATAAATGAAATGATTGTTTAAAAAAGGGTGTTTTATGTTTACTCAGATTGTCTTTGTTTTATTCAACTTTATATTTTAAATTAAATAGATGTGACAAATACGCAAAAATAGAAGAAATCAGGAGGGGCCAAACACATTTTCACAGCACTGTATTTAACCTACACTTAAAAACTTTAACTGGTATAGAAACTTTACATCACGCTGAGGTTCTTTAACCTTTGAAAAGGTTCTTTATACTCACACATCAATTGCCAGAGTGGTTCTTTAAAGAACCACCAACTAAAAGGCTGGTTCTTTTAGAGTCTATTGCTTAAGTCTTAAGATGAATAATAAGCCTGCAGTTTAAGGGGTTAACATATAACCACACTTCAGTGCACGTTGTTTATGACTGCTTAACCCTTCACTGGCCAGGATCTGCCTAAATGACTGAATAATAAGCATTAATAAGCCTGGGATTTTAAGAGGTTAAAACGATCCATCAGACAAGATTTTAGAGAACTATGTTACGGAACTGACTGGAGAAAAGGGAAAAAGGAATCACCATGACTTGTTGGACCCTGTAGCGAACAAAATCAACATCCATCTCCCAGTGCAGAGGCAGCAGGAGCCACAGGCCTGTCTGAGCATCAAAGTACCTGCAGATATTGATTCGTTCCTGCGGAGAAAACAGTGGTTAGTAAACATGTAACACTACCAAACTGCATCTTGTATTTCATGTATTTAACGTGTTAAATACAGTTTGTTTCATGACGTTCAAATATGTTTTGTGTCCATTAGGGAAGAAAAGTCAATATGGTGCAAAACAGTGTCCCCAAACCAGGATAAACCAGTTTATATGTGCACAACTCCATTAGCGATCATCTTTCTATTGGAAATGTACCCCTCATTGCTTTTAGACTCATTAGTTCTGAGGTACAGTTGCTCATTAGCATCAGTTCCTTCATAAATCATCTACTGGACAAACCTCACAGGTGTAAATGTTAATTAGTAACCTCAAACATGCAGGTCCTGAGAGTTCCTCTCCCCTGGACGTAGACCCCACTCACACGATCATCTTCAGTCAGTGTGGGGGCACTAGGTGCAACCTGGTTGCTATGAAGAAACTTCTAAAAAGAAAAAAAACAAAAAAAAACCCACTTAAGTTTCATTTAGCAGTTCACTAGTATGCAGACATACTAGCAATCTTTGAGAGCCTCCTCAACTAAGTGTTTTTCTTTGTTTAACCAACAGTTCAGTAAGTGCACAACAAAAATTTACTCTACGCCTCTTAAATCTACACTGCGGTTTCAACTATAGTTGTACAAAAATAGTACAGTGCAAAGGTCAGAGACCACCTTACTGAATTTCCAGTCATTAAATGAAGTGTCAGAAAAAGCAGAAAAAACACAGAAAAATTACACTGAAGCCTCAACAACTAAACACACTATATGGACAAAAATATTGGGACACCTACATGAGCTTTTCTGACATCCCATTCTAAATCCATAGGCATTAATGTGGAGTTGGTCCCTATAAGCTATAACAGCTTCCACTCTTCTGGGAAGCTTTCTACAAGATGTTGGAGTGTCTGTGGGATTTTTTGCTCATTCATCCAGAAGAGCACTTGTGAGGTCAGACTGGACGAGAGGGCCTGGCTCACAATCTCTTTTCTAGTTCATCCCAAAGGTGTTTGATGGGATTGAGGTCAGGGCTCTGTGAGGGCCAGTCAAGTTCTTCCACACCAAACTCATCCAGCCAGGCCTTTATTGACACTGGGGCTCAGTCACGCTGGAACAGGTTCTTCCTCAAACTGTCCCCACAAAGTTGGAAGCATAGAATTGTCCAAAATTTCTTGGTCTGCTGAAGCATTAAGATTTCCCTTCACTGGAACTAAGGGTCCTAGGCCAACTCCTGAAAAACAACCCCATTGCATTATCCCTCCTCCACCAAACTTTACAGTTGGCACAATGCAGTCAGGCAGGTAATGTTCTCCTGGCATTGCCAAACCCAGACTCGTCCATCAGACTGCCAGATAGAGAAGTGTGATACGTCACCCCACAGAATACATTTCCACTGCTCCAGAGTCCAGTGGCAACATGTCCTCTTACCTTGTCTCAGTAATGGCTTCTTGATAGCCTCACAACCTTTCAGAGCGCTGAGTTGTCTTCTCACAGAGGAAGGATGAACAGAAACACCTGTGGATTTTCTCCTTTCTCTCAAAGATGAAAGTTTTAAGTGCTGTTTATCTGATGGGGACAGTTTTAGTGGTCTAACTGGTATTGCACAGTTGTTAGGGGTCCCATTTTCTCTGTATTTTTCAATCATTTTTTTCCAAAGTCCAGTTTAGGAAAGTCATGCATGCTCCCCTTACTTATGCAAGTGGATTATCTTATATCTTCTCAGAAATATCTCCTGAAAATGAATAACTTTTGCTTAATGGCTGTTTTGACTGTAAATTAAATAATGGTGGTCTTTGACTTTTGCACAATACTGTATACAGTGGGTTAACTACCGGCAGACACACTATTCCATCCATAGTAATCTTAATTTTTCTGATTTTTAACATTCTTAACTAAGCATGTTCTCAAATTTGGACATAACACTAGCTAACCTCTAACCATTCGGCCTCATAAAACTGGTAAACATCAACTGTCACTTACCTCCCACTGCAGTGTGCTGGCTTCTCCTGTTTTTCTACTCACAGAGGCTCCACTGCCCATGTCTAACAGCAAGTCCAGCAGTAACGGCAACACAAACTCACATCCTGAATGACTTACAGTCTCCACCCCATCACTGTTCTGCTCCACAAGCCCGCTGCAGCAGTAACCTTATAGGCAGCTCCAGCACCACACATCCAGCATTAATGTTAGATGATTACAACCACAGCCTATAGTTCCCTGTAGTCTGCCACACCCATTGTGTGATTCCTCCACTGTTTTAACATGTACGGCCTGAGCAGCAGAACCAGGAGCACAGCTTTAATAAGAAAATATATTCTGTTAATGCCCATCTGAATATTGTGCACATCATCCAGTTACTGTATTCTAGACCTTTGTGCTGTAATCACTTTGACACTTGGCAAAGCAGCAGGGTGACATTTCACACGGCGGTAATGTGACACTCACAATGTGACAAGAACTGACATGGAGTAATTATACCATTGATAAGCTACACACCCCGAACAGGCAGTTCTGAGACGCCGCTATATGGTATATTGTCGCTGTTGTAAGAAAGCTTCATATCTTAGAAACGTTTATTTTATAAAATTTAAGTTCTTAACCTTAATGTAAATTCAATGTAACAAGATTTTATTGGACAGTTTTTATTGGTTCATTGGGCAGGAAATGTTCACACAATGTAAATGGTGGCTAGTGTTTTCGAATGGTGTACAATAACAACCTAAAAAAAGCTATGATTACTATGGCAGCGACAATATATTGCTTTCACGTGTTTTGTTTGCAATAAGATGTAAAGAGGTTATTCAGGGTGGTTTGATGTGAAATGCTCTGGTCTAGAGAAATACACCAGAACTGTTCACAGTGGTGGTGATGGAACCAGACAAGGCAAACTGGGGAGCTTCCGGAGAGATTAGCCTTTACCCTCATCTAAGGCTCTGGCTTCAGTTTATGAAGGCCTTGCTAATTAGCTGAGGAGCTGAATCAGGTGTGTTTAATGAGGCAGTGAGCTGAAGTCTGCAGTGTTTTGGCCCACGAGGACTGGAGAGGTTTAGACACGAGGTTTTGTTCTGACGGCAGCGATATATAAATGTGGTACTCAGCTTCCTAGTAATGATGCTACCTCTCTGACATCCTTCTGCATCCAGCAGGAATAAAAACATTTCCAACAGCCCACCATCAATGACTACCCAAAAAGCTGTAATTCCTTCACCTTCAAGATACATCAGAAGGGGCTTTTCCTAGTCTACTGTAGTACCACTGCAGGAGGAGAGTGAAAACAATGACTGATGAAGCAATGATTACAGTTTCATTTTGCCCATAGCGCCCCTTTAAAGATATGAAGACAGACCTACAAATTAAAGTTTTTTAATCTTGCACTACGACAGTAGTACTTTGTACATATTTATTCTTATTCTAATACTGCTATAACTGATTAGTACTCTACCGAAGTTCTCTTCTGTGTTTTGTTCGCCCCTCGGTTGGAACTCGTTGTTGTTCATTTTTTTACTACTTTGCATATGTTAAATAACAGACTGAGTTGCAGAGAAAGGAGTGTTCTTTTATTCTGGGAAAACTATTCTCAGTAAAGTTTTCATGCATGTGAGTAAACTGTAAACACCACAGTACCCACTACAGTTCACATGGCTTGCATATGACTGTGCCCTGTTAATGTCAGCCAACAGTTTAAACCAGCCTCACACACCTCAACACCAATCATTTTCAGACAATAAGGCCTCTCAGTGAAGCTACAAGGCACTTTTTGGAGGGGAGGGGGTAATTATTGTACTGATTAACATACATGTCCGTTTTTTGCACACTGATCAGAAGTGTAGTTCAGGACTAGACAGGATTTTCTACAGAGAACCTTCCTGAACAGCGATATTGAAGCAGAAAACCTGGAAAACTGTACTTGTACTTCAGCAAAGCTGGCAATCTAACAGATCATATCAGTCAATCTAGTGCAAAGTATTTAGGACAGGGGTGTCCAATCTTATCCGCAAAGGGCCGGTGTGGCTGCGGGTTTTCATGCCAAACAAGCTGGAGCTCACCTGATTAATCAATTAGTCTCCGTCTTCAGCGATTGATAACGTGAGCTCCTGCATTGTTGGAATAAAAACCTGCAGCCACATCGACCCTTTGTGGACAAGATTGGACAGCCCTGATTTAGGATATGTACTGATTAACAAATGGAAAAAAAAAACATTGGTTAACATTACCTCGGTTTGGTCGTGCTGCACTGTCAATACAAAAGCACAGTATTACTACATTACATTTAAAGCTGGACTCTGCTGGTGAGGTAAAGCATAAATATCAAAATTTACAAAGGGCAAAATACTATGTAGTATAATAAACAAATCATCACCAAAATAGTTCAATATAAATATCAACATTTACTAAAAAACTGATCTGAATTCAGGACCCCTGTGGCCTATAACCTGAAGTGACTCATGCTTCATATATACGATCTACTTTAAAGCCATAGTTTGTTTCAAATGAGGGAAAATAGTAAACCGTGAACAGCTGAGTGTCATACTGTATGGAAGCGACGATGCAGGCTGATTCACATTAGGGCTGGCCTGAACAGTGTTTTACAGGCTTGAAATGCTCACTGATACTTCCAAACAAGTCTTTGTTCTCAAAATGACTCTTCAAAACGATATCTGAAGTGTTTTTAGTCGTCTCTCTTAAGGAACAGATACAAAAATACAAGCCAGAGTTTCTCCCATTTGTACATGAGATCCAGTCAAATCACACGCTACCATTTTCTTTTACAGCATTCTCTTCTATATTGAAAATAATACACTAAAATGTGATGATCTCATTGGTGTGCTAGTTGGAGAGCAATACCTGCCCTAAACTATCTGTGTGTGGAGGATGCTTCTCTGATCCAGCCCTAAAAACTTGATTGATTGTGATTTTGTCACAAACATATTTGCTGTTTGTGTTTTCAAGTTTACCCCCACTATAAAATCATTTGAATAGAACAGAAAAGGAGAAAAACGAGATGATATTCTTGTCTGAAGCAGTTAAGTGACGAAGCTGAGTCGGAGGAAGTGTGGATTGGATGCATGGTGGTACATAGATAAGGATCACTATACATATATGAGATTCTCACCAAACTTGTCATGCCTGTGTCTTGTCTCAAATCTTGAACTGAGCATTGTTCTTCTGATGAAATGTGCTTAAGCTAAACAGAGAAATGACTACCAATGTAACAAATAAATACTCAAGTATTTAAAATTATTCAGGCCAGCCCTAAATCACAGTGACCTATAACCAAACAAGTGTTAATGAACACTTCAATGTCTAAACCCTATCCCTGAAAAAGTGTTAAAAATGGTTATGAACTGTTAAAAAGAAACAATAGCAGTAGTTGCGAGCTGTGTAACAGCAAGATTAGTCAAAAAAATATGAAACGGTTGCTTTTGGTGTGGCCCATAGTAACCTGTTAGCGTCCCTTGCTCAAGTGCTGGTGATTTTGCCTTAGAAGACACAATTTCCTTTGTGACAGTGACCATTGGCCTGTATAACAATTTACTGATTCATTCATTATTATTTTTAGATCATTTCGGTCACAAACGCACCCAAACAAACTGACACACGGGTTCCTTACACTCCTGAGATTAAACACAATCATGGTGCCATGGTCACTGATACCAAGAGCTGCCATTGCTGAGGGTCATCAGACAAATTTTCATCGCTGTCATAACAAAATCTCATATCCTCAATATAGTAACTTTATAGGAGGAAAAATGTTAGTTTTAATGTACATTAACATTGTTTTTGTTAAAGTAATTCTAGACCATTTTTATTGCTCCAACAAATGTTTACTCAATATAAAGAACAGGTGGCTTTTTTTTAAAAAAAAAAACCCCAAAAAAGTAGGGTTACGAGACTTTGGTACGACAGCAACGATACAACAAGTGCTAAAATCTGCTGCGCTCTGACACTTTTCAGTGACACCACATTGTCCATTTCTATGACCTGACCAATTTGAAGCCCTGGCCAGTGTCGAGCACTGCTGGAGGGAACCAGTTGAGTTTGACCCTTCGCAAAAAGTGCAGACAGATGCCACAGAGCCAGAACAGGTTCAGAGCACTGCACCAGTGGACCAGCTGAACCACGGGGTACGTCAAACGGGGGAAATACATCTTCCAGTGCTTAGCCACATCATTTCCTGTAGGCAAGTGCAGCCTGTAATCGCCCCAGTGTCTCGAGAGGCCGTACGTTGCCATGACAGTTCGCCCTCGCTCGGCCCAGCGAACACAGCTGTCGGGGTTGCAGTTGAAGTCGACCCACTGGAAGGTGAAATCTCCAAGCTGAGGGGCATCCTGGATCTCCAGGTCCGTTGAGTTGGATAATGTAGCCCCCTGTACGGCTACATACACGTCCTTCACCCTCCGCACCTCCTTCACCCAGGGGAGGGAATTCTCAGTGTCCAGAATTAGAACGAGGCGAGAGCAGTAGCCGGCGTTCTTCTCTCTCCAGAGCTGCATGATCTCGTTTAGACGCAGCACCTCCCCACCTGGGAGGAAAACAGATCAGACAGAGGTTCTCAATGACATGATCCCAACAGACCTGGTATCGGAAAGAAATCCGTTTACACTAAGGCACTTTCCCGTTGGCAAAAGAAAAATCAATAAAATTTTTTTATCAATATCAGTGCGTAGCGCCTGAGCTTTCTGTTTGTTACCGTGTTTTCTATCACTATATAAAAGATGCATGAGGCAGTTGGTTGCACTGTGATTTCATCCGAGCGAGCGAGCCAACTCATTCTAAAGAGAAATTAGATTAGTAACCTCTTAATACTGATCTGTTTCATCAGACTACCAATAAAGCATGACTATTTGGTGATTTATATTCCTATTCATGTGTTTTCTTGAAAAAATGGTAGTCTGTGAAACAAACAAAATAACACAATAACACAAAAAATGGGCTGACCAAAAAAAAAATTTCTCAGAATTTCAGCTTTGTTAGATCACATTCTTTACATACAAAATAAACTCAATGGCGGCATTAAAGGAAAAGATTAGATTAAAATGGTAGAAATAGCCACTTTAAAAAATGTCTTTCAATTAAAAAAAACCCAAACAAACAGCAGCTCTGTCTAATGTGCTCTGAAAAGGTTCTATCTAGATTCATGATTAGTCAACTGTTAAGTCACATTTCACATTTCATTTGTTTACTCATTGTAGTTTCCCCTCAGGAAAATATTCCATATGTGTCAGGGATTAAGGCATTTGGGCTGAACTGTAATCACAGTACTTACCGCTAATCCTCCTTACATGTTGAGCTATAAAGCTACACATGCACCCTAGTGCTGTGCTGTTTGACATAACAACTCACATTTTGGTAGGAGGTGACATTTCAGCTAATGTGATCCAAACTAACGTTTCAATCAGCTAAAGAGCACAAAAAGGCATAAGAAAAAGAAAACAATTCATAACATATTCTCTATTCATCAGATCGTACTCTGAGGAACATAGTCATTTCAAATCACCTGAAAAAGATAAAAGCCTGGAGCATGATAGTTACCTGGGTCAGGTGTTTTAGGAGCTGGAATAGATTAATAAATATAGGCTGGATATGTGGCCCTGATTAGGTTAATAAAGTTTCCCTCTCTCTAACCTGCCAGTGCCCACTCTCCAGTGCGGTGTGTGTGGCCGCTGTAGAAGAGCACATAGGTGTCAAAGCGTGGGCCGTCAGCTGTGTGGGCCTCTAGGAAAGAGCAGAGTTTGGCCTGTATTGTGCTCAGCATCAGTCCGCTGGTGGAGTAATCACAGCCGTGTGTCTCAATCATGTGGTGGGAGAAGAAGCGCTGCACACTGTTCAGCATGCCTGTGGAGCGCAGGTTCAACTCCTGCACCTGATCTGGAGGCAGCAGGGTGGGCTGACCATCCGGACTAGGGAGAGGGGGAGAGAGAGAGAGTGTGAGAGAGAGTGTGAGAGAAAGAGAGAGAGAGAGAGAGAGAGAGAGAGAGAGAGAAGCTGACATCATTAAATATGAAAATTGTCAAAATACGTTTAGTCACTGATGATGTTATTGATGGTTTTAAGTAAATAATGTAGACAGAAAAATTAATTTTACCTACCTGCAGTAGTTGGTAGGAATGACCACTGCATAGCCAACAGATGTACCTCCAAGGCAGTTTCCCAATTCGTAGAAAAGCCCATGAGCAAGTGACTCCAAAGGCAGGACCAGCAGAAACACACTAACGAACAGACTGTTGGATGGCTGGAAGAGGTAAAATAATAATAAAAAATCATGTTATAATGACCTTAAAAAATTGGGACAAAACAAAAAAAGACAATCTTCTGACAGCTGACTATCCTTTCTTTAGTTTAGGTTTCTTTAATAAACTGTAACATCATAAAAATGACAACAAAATGCAACCCAGAGCTTATGTTCTTCACGACGCAGGCAGTAGGGCTGCACAATACATTGTTAGTTAATCATTATCACAGAAGGCTGATATACGAACTAGCCCAATACAAAAATGTTTTTTTTTACTGTGCACAGTGACAATTCTTCTGACACAGTACTAATATAATGCAACAAAAGTAAAATATTTTAATGAACTTAATGCAGGCCAGTCATATTACTGGTTCACCAATGCTCATTTAATACGCCACAAGGTGCATCACTATCACAATATGTAACAACATAATCGTAATTCTAGTATTTTGTCCTTATTGTGCATCCTTAGCAGGGCATGCACAAACCTACCTGCCATGATAGTGCTCCAAGTATGACTGTAGAAACGAGGCTGAGGAACACCAGGCGTTTTGAGATGAGGCAGAAGTGGCGCATACCCCTGGAGGCCATCACCCTGTCCAGAGCTCCCAGCTCTGCCCTCTGAACCACACACGCTCTCTGGCAGTCGCTCAGCTTGCTGTGAAAACCCCACAGAGTGACCAGGAACACCACGTGGCAGATGATCCAGAAAATGCTGGAGGCTGAAAAACTGGGGATCACAATATACCACTGGTCCAAATTGCCCATCTTAAAAGCGGACAGGACCAGAAAGGTTATTTCGATGGCCAGAAGGGGCAGGAGAGTGAGGCGCCTCCACAGCCCTCCTCTCCTCAGAAAGGGTGACCAGCGCTCAGTCACAGAGAGACCACTGAAATAGATGTCCAGGAGGGGCTCGCAGACCAGCCGGCTAAGGAAGCAGGCCAAAGCGTAGGGGTTCGTGGTTACCCCTAAAGACTTAAAAAAGAAGACTGCAGTGACCACAGAGAAGCAAATCAGGTTGGGAAGAGCCAGGTAGGACTTCATTCGCAAGTCTGTGACTAGTGTAGCGACGGCCAGCGCCAGCACAGCCAGGCTCATGGAGTCCTGGGCCACTTGGGTGGTACTGGCCACTGCAAAGCCTGTAAGCTCCAAGCCTCAGCAGACTTCAGCAGAGCAGGTCGGTGCCTGGTGCAGCCACATACTCGCTCCACCAAAGCCCACAACGTCCTGATCACCACACTGGCCACCAGCATGTAGCAGGTGATCTGCTCCTTTAAATCCATGTCTAGGGAAGAGCCGTTGAGAAAACACAGCAAGCCCAGCAGGAAACCCAACCACAGATGGAAGAGACAGAGACTGACCCGCTCCATGCTGAAGTAGTAGTAGAAGATGCTGGCCATGCCCAAGACAAACAGGCCCAGAATGAAAATGACCAGCAGCACAGGCTGTGCAGTCCTCTCCCAGCGCACATACAGGCCCAGGCATACGGCCACAAGTAAGTTAAGAGTGGACAAGTAGCCCAGATAGCGAATGGACATCCACAGACTCACTCCTCTATTGACATCCTCTAGTCTGGTCATCGCTGCATACAGCGAATGGCTCACACAGTAACGAAGTAGCCTGCACATAACTGCACTTAACCACACTTAACTGCTTCACACTGAAGTTTACTTAAGTCAGAGCACTTCGTGTCTACTTTAGTGACATCGTAACTGCGGCATAAACTCATTTCAGAAGAATTTGTCAAGCCATCCTCAGCTCTGCAGGTGAAAAGCGTGAAAAGAATGCAATAATACGACTACGAGTTTGTTTTCCTGCTAGCCACTCAGGGAAGTTGCTAGCATTTGCTAACTGTAGTTAGCTTCTAACAGTCTTTAAAAGTGTCGAAACCGCTCAAACTGTTTCGTTCTCCGTCAATAAGTATGCGAATACAAACTCCGGGAAGCTTTTAGACCAAAGTAAGAAATAAAAGTAGTTAATGTCCTCGGCTAAAGCGATGTTAGTCCGCTGCCGGCATTAGTCGCTAACTAGCGTTAGCATTAGCCTTTCCCTCGCTGGTGCTGAAATTGGAGAGAATTGACAGGAAACTCGCGTCCATCTGGGCTCGGGCAGACATCGACAGCAGGGTCATACTTCAAAATGGAAATCATCGAGTACACGAGCGAGTGTTTCCTATGAAGGAGCGACGAATTCACCACCAGCAACTCCACTACTTCCAAAACTTTACTTCACCATTTATCCCGGAGCTGTAAATAGCTACGGCAACCCTGCGGGGACATAAAGCACAGCGATTTAGCGAACGCCACCCAAAGCTAATTCATTCACTGTTCACCTCAGTCCCTCAGGTGACACGATGATTATTTTTAAAGAATTAATGAATTTTAATAAGTAATGCGCAAGTAGTAAGTAATGTGTGACCTCAATATATTAATTCGTGGCTTCAATATTGTAATTCGTGGCCTCAATATATTAATTTGTGCCCTCAAAACAGTAAATTGTGGCCTCAATATTGTAATTCGTGACCTCAATATATTAATTTGTGCCCTAAAAACAGTAAATTGTGGCCTCAATATTGTAATTCGTGGTTTCAATATAGTAATTTGTGGCTTCAATATTGTAATTCGTGGCCTCAATATATTAATTTGTGCCCTCAAAACAGTAAATTGTGGCCTTAATATTGTAATGCGTGGCCTCAATATATTAATTTGTGCCTTCAAAACAGTAAATTGTGGCCTCAATATTGTAATTCGTGGTTTCAATATAGTAATTCGTGGCCTCAATATAGTAATGCCTGACCTCAATATATTAATTTGTGCCCTCAAAACAGTAAATTGTGGCCTCAATATTGTAATTTGTGACCTCAGTATATTGTTTGTGCCCTCAAAGCAGTAAATTGTGGCCTCAATATTGTAATTCGTGACCTCAGTATATTAATTTGTTGCCTCAATATTGTAATCTGTGGCCTCAAAATAGTAACTTGTGGCCTCAATATTGTAATTTGTGGCCTCAATATATTAATTTGTGGCCATGCCTTATTAAAAAATGATCACTATGTCACCTGAAGTTTACTTTGAACATGTTATCATTTTTGTTTATGACTACCATAGTGGACTATGCAATCTGTACCTTTAAGTCATATTCAGGGAAAGCAAAGTACAGAGAAACTGTATTTAAGTATGGGTTCTGTGTCTGTCTCAGTTTAACGTGGAAGTATGGAGCCAAAAATATACTTGAGTAAAAGTCAGAAAGTATCAACATACTCAAGTACACTCTCAGAAATAAAGGTACTGTACTGTCACTGGGGCAGGACCCCTCTTGTCACTGGGGTGGTACCCTCAAGGGTACATCTCAGTACCTTTAGTCAGGGAACATAACTGTACCATAATCCACTGAAATTATATTTTCTATATTTTCTACGTTGTATTGACTCCACACACCCCGTCTCGTCTCCAAGCTTTTTGTTGTTCTGTTTTAACACATTAAGTTATGAAAAGGTACAAAAACGTACTTTTCCTGGGAAAAAAGCTTGTCTAAGATATACAATTGGACCTTAAAACCACTGTAGTACCTTTGAGGGAACATTTACATTGTTTGTACCTTGATGAACAAAAATGTACCTGAACAAATACATGTTCTGAAAATAAATTAAAGGTGATGTGAGATGAGTTGTGTGGTGATTAATGGGTGGTCCCATTAAAAAAATAAATTATCACATTTCTGGGCATTTTCATTTTACATTGCTATGAATTTGGTCAGATATTTTAATTAAAAAAAATAAATAAGATGGATGGGAACTCGACTGATTGACAAGAAAATGAATAAATCTAATGGACTTTGAGATCTGTAATCAGTAGACCTCTGAAGATAAAGAAAATGTAAAGAGTTAAAATTGAGTACAAGTATTCCATTCAATTAATAAATAATAATGCAAATCTTCTAAAATAACACTCAAATATAGTCATTATGTACAATCCCCCACCTCAAATCATGTAAAGAGTTAATGTGTAAGAAAAGCAATTTATTGTTGATTGAATAAAAAAATAATAATCTTAATACTCTTTAATGTAATTGGTACACTTTTCTTTGTTTTCTCATCCCCATATTATATATTTATTTTTATCAAATTTTTCTTTTTATGCTCACCTTGAATTATGTGCTGCCTACATTTTATTTTTTTTGCATGTATTCTTGTCAAATTTGACTCATTTAATGTTACCAGCTTACTGTAACTGCTAAATGTTGTAACAACAGTTTCTGTGTCTGTACACTTATATGATACGCCTCAATGAAAAAAGACCAGACATACATATAATAGACCTGCAGCCATATTATAAATAAGACATGAATTGGATCCTAAATCAGCACTTATACTTTATAAAGCTTTGTGAAGATGTGCCCTGAAATGTACATCTATGGAAAAATAAGGGAAATCTATCATCCGTAACTCCACACCATAGTTCATATTCAGAAAGCAGCTGAGTAACGGCTAATTTCAGATCACAATCCTCCTGTATTTATGAAGATCATGATCACAAAAACTGATCTACTGCTCTACATGTAGATTGCCATCTTCTACCCGTATCATGTATATATCATTTTAGTATATAATTAATATATAATACATATCAGTATTTTATCCCTTGTGTACCCTGCATCTCATTTATCAACCTCAGGCTCACAAACTGCATATACGGCAATGTGTACAACTTTTTCATAACATATTACTGTACAAAAACTGTACACTGGAATGTTGCAATAATGTGTGTATACTAATTTGTATGTGTGTGTGTCTATATATATATGTATATTTTTTTCTTATATTTTATATATATATATATATATATATATATATATATATATATAATATATACTTATATTTTTTGTATATTAAGTACTACAAGGGGGCTACGCACCTTAGATTTTCACTCACTTTTGCACCTGTGTACATAAACGTGATTTGATCTATGGTTTGTGAATTTAGACACTGATACAGATCCTGAAGGTGAAGAAAATATGAAACTGTGCAGTAAGTGCGGGCTACGGAACTGGAGGTGGGTGAACACTAAAAATTAATTTAAAAAGATGGATAAAAAGGCTTTATCCAGATTTAATCACATCAGGAATCAGTTAAGTTCAGAGAAATATGTTGCTGGTTGAAAATCAATGACTTAAAGAACAGCCAAGCACCACGTAACTGATAAACACAGTCAGATCAAATGAAAAACAGATTTTTATTTATTTTTTAAATGTATGTTTTTGCATCTATAGCCAACGTTTATATTTAATTATAAAAGGAGCAACGTACGACAATTCACACCAACAATCTTGAAGTCGAACACTGAAGAGAAACTATTCATGCACACAGTGGATCAGGGCCATGGGAAGACAAGGCAGTACAATGCATGAACACATCAAGTAAAGCACAGTAAAAAGCTTTTTGTTGTTGTAAAATGTCCAAAGTTCTCATGAACTAAATACACACTAAACACAAAGCCTATAAATACTATTGCTAATGTGATTAAAGTGGCTGACAGTATTTAGTGATGTTATTTATCACCAGCTGGTTAAAGGCCAGCATTTTCTTTCAAATGTTCTGAGTTTGGTTTCTGATATTAATAAGATTTCAGGATTTGTCCATCCTTAAGCAGCAAACCACAACCACAATTCTCTCAACCTTCTTCAGATGCAAAAATACAGTTTGGACTAAAAGGCACCTTAAGGGTTTATCTGATTCGATATCAAACAAGCAAACCAGTGTTTCACTGTGTGCCTTCACCACTGTCATCAAACAACGTCTTCATAAAAAATGACTCACACCACAATGAAGGGCTGGTATTTTTGGCACCCTCACAACTGACTTATGCTCTCAGAAATGTGTCAGACTGGAACAATATATGCAACCACTCAAACAAAGCTTTCAGAAATTAAACACTTTCCTTTGATGGATTAATAAGAGCCATTGAATCATCTGTGTATCTTGTACGTTTTGTCATACAGTCAAAGAAACATTCAGGTCAGAAATTGTCCTGTGGTAACGTCTAACAAGGAATGGTTTGGGGAAAATATCTACTTTACAAATTTCCCACTATGCCAGATGTAGTTGACTAGCCAAGACATATTTGGTGTCCAAATTATGCTTCTTTACACACATCTAAAAAAAGATGGTTCTTCAAAGGTTCTTTAGTTCAGAAAATGGTTCTACATAGGACCATGAACACTCAAAGAACTCATTGCATGATGTAATGGTTCTTTGCATCAATAAATAGTTCTTCAGATTGATGGAGAATGTGCTGCAGATGGTTCTATATAGAACCTTGTAGGAAAGGGTTCTATATGGCACTAAAAAAGATACTTCTGTTGTTACAAGCTTGACATTTTTGGTGCTATATGGAACCCATAGAATATGGAACCCATTCTCCATCAATCCAAAGAACAATTTCATGATGTAAAGAACCCTTTAATCATGCAAAGTGTTCTTTGAGCAGTCATATGGTTCTATACAGAACCATTTTCTTAACTAAAGAACCCTTGAAGAACCTTCTTTTTTAAGAGTGCTAAACTGCTAACAAACACTAGAAGCCAATAGTCACCCAAATGTTTCTGTAAAAACAGATCTTTGAAAAATCTTGTCAATGTGGTTTAGGACAGGGTTTCTCAACCTGTGGACTGCAGACCATGGACCACCAGTGGACTGTGAAGCACCCTCTAGTGGTCCACAGGCCTGAACTCAGAAGGAGGTGGTAATTCGGAATGGGCCGGTAACGTCACAACAAACCATAAATACATAAGTGGATTTCTGATTTTAGTTGATCTTAGTTTCCCTGTGGGCCTCTATGCTTTGTAGTTATAAACAGGTGGGCCTTGGGGTGGAAAAGGCTGAGAACCCCTGGTTTAGGACACAGTGTGACTTACTGTACACTATAAAAATGAACAAAACTTTACAATGCAACTGAATTCTGGAGGCAACCATTTTAGACAACAGAAATAGAGTGAAATTTTTTTTAATGTTGTGAAATTTTTTCCTTAAGCTTTGTTCATTTTTAATTGTTCACAGTAAGTCATACTAATGTCCTGAACCACACCTGCCAGTCTGCACAGTTCCTGGACGTGGTTTGAGAGAAATTTTGGATATCCATTTACATCTGGGAGTCTACTGACCTCTTGTGCTGGTCAGCAACATTAGCCTTGTAGCTCCAGTTTAAAACTAAAGAAGCAAAATCTGGACACCCAACATGTCTGGGCTGATTGACTACATCTAGGCTGAGCGGAAAATTGTGTAAATTTCATTTTTTTCCTTAAACCATTCCTCTAAAACTATGGATCTATTGCTATTCTTGTGAGAAAGCAAGACCATTGTTAAATGGCTCTTATTCAATGCCTCCAAAGACTGTGTTCATAAACAAGTGCAACTGCTGCAGTGAAAGAAACTGCCTATTTCACAGTGAAATACAAAGAGAGTGTAAAGCACTTGGCACAATTACACAATAAGATATGAAAGAAAAACCTCATTGAGGTTAATCATCCAGAAAAGTTGAAAGGTTTGGTTTAAAGTACTCTCCAAACATATGTAACTAATGTTTTAGCCACAAAAGTTCAATGTATGCATCTAAGAGCTGAATGAGATGCAAATCAGTCGCACAGTAAATAACAAAAAAAGTAGCTTTAAGACATTGGTATAAGTCTTTGAGAATCATCCTTTGCTTTGAAAATCGTCAGTGAAAGTAACAAATCATCATTCAACAAAAAGGACAGAAAGCAAGCCTGTGTCGTCTTAACTAAATCTGCGTCCAGTCGAGGACAGAAGCCTGTAGGTTACAACTCTTACCTTCAAAAGTTCACAGCTACTCACAACTAAAAAATATTACGTCTTTTTGATCGCAAGATAAGAAAGGTCTTGCACAACATCCTTTCAAATAGCCCTAAAAGGGGCAAAACACCCCCCCCCATCTTAGTCTTATCAAAGATTGTTCTTATGAACTACAACTACCTTGCATGATTTGTACCATGGAAAGTGATCCATTAGAAAACAGTTACAGTCACAGTGTCACATAAGCAAGCCAAATACACATAGCCTACGTGTTGATACTGTTGAACACCTAAAATGCTACAAATATCACTGGCAAATCTATACCAAAGATACTGATTTAAAATTGTACAAGCTACTGTCAGCGTCCAACAGCAGCTAACCTATCATGAAATGATCAAACAGTGCTAAAACTCTAGGGTAACTAATCAAACTATTGTAATTTTAGCCACTGACAATGTCTGAGCCTACAATACAAAAAGTCTATTTTACTTCAAAAGGTTTTGACAAATCCTGTCCAGATGACACTGTATGAAAAGTGGACTGAGAAAGAGCACACAAATCCTTTATCCTGAGCTCACTCAGCGGCTTTACTTACAAAATCAAACCCTTTCAACTACAAAACTACTATCAGTTTCTTTTCAGCACATGGATATGTTTAAATGTGTAAAACACAGTGTCTTTCACCTAATAAAAGATTCAGAACCACCCAGGTGTAAACGTCTTTTCTCCCCAATTTAGTCATAATCAATTCAAAATGTAGTAAAACGCACATTATCACCAACAATCTGAGAAGGCTTTGCGCATAAATGAAGAATGCTACCTCAAAATCACCAGCAACAGGGGAGAGAGGGACCCTGCCAGTTGCATTCTCATAAACCCCCAAATGGCACACGATTTGAACCTGAATCCTAACAATAGGACTCGCCCCTGGACACTGCTGAGCAGCATCTTTTACCCTACCAGATGTGCCATTTGGGGGGTCATCTGTGTAAACATCATCTTCAAACTTTGTGCAAACTGCATCATAAAAAAAGCAGGGAAAAAACAGCCCAGCTTTAATCTGCCAGTGCAGCTGTATGGCAGCAAAGCTGGGCATTTAGGAGTGTGGTTCAGCTGTGCAGCAGAATGGGGTCCTCCAGCTCGTGAAAAGGTGCTGAGCTGCTTTGGCTCTCGCCAGAGTCGGAGTCATAAGGAGCGTCCGGCAGCTCTGCAAAGCTACGCGCTAGCTGGTCATCCTCAAAATCAGAGCGCGCCGGCTCACGGCAGTCTGTGAAGCCCTCCTCGTCCTCCAGCATGTTGAAGTCCTGCGGTATGTAGAGCATCTCTGGGTAGTTGTGGCTCACCAGGTCGCTTGTGGTGGTGACGGAAACTTTGCGAAAGGCGATGAGGTGCATATGCGAGAACTTGACGTACTTGTAGCGCTTAAAGCCCAGTGACTCCACGGCCACACGCCAGCTGCGCATCATGAGCGCGTGGCGGCCCTGGTGGGAGGAGTCCGGCGTGATGATAAGGAGGAGACCATGCAGTGTCAGCAGTTCGTGGGCCTTCTTGCAGCACAGCCAGCGCTGGTACGGTGAAGGGAAGTATGACAGGAGCAGTGAGAAAACCACCACGTGAAATAGCTGCGCCGGCAACGCATCGATCGGAGCACGCAGCTGCCGTAAGAAAGCTTCGAGCGCATCAGTGGCCAGCTGCAGAGGCTGCTGCAGCTGAAGGTTGAGGAAGTCACATTTGTACACACTCTGGAGATGGAGAGAGTAAACACAAATACAATGGGTGAATCTACAGTATGGTTTTGAACAGGGCTGGGAAGGTTACTTTAAAAATGTTTTCCATTACAGATTACTGATTACCTGTTAAAAATGTAATTGTAACCTAATTCAAAGAATTACTACATTAAAGTAATGTAATCTGATTACTTTCTGTTACTTTTGGATTACTTTTCTTTAATTTAAGACTATAATTAAATAAAGAAAAGAGAAAAATTATTTCAACAAGACTTTTTAACAAGAATTTAGCTTAACACACACCAAATACAAAAATTGCACTGTTTATGATCAGGATGACAGATTATAGGTGACATAAATATTGACTTAAATTTTTGTGATATTAAATATATCCCAGAAATGGCCAGTGATCTCACAATTAGTGAAAAGGCCAAACCTAGGTGAAGCAATATATGGAAATATTTAAAACATAAAGATGACAAATTTGTATGAAAACAGTATAATTTGTTTGAGGTATGCTCAAAGCTTGAAGATCATAAATTAAGCTTTGCTCCCCAGGAAGAAAACAAGTGATTTTAACAGGAAATTAAAAAAATAGATATTCTGAGACTAAAAGCTCTTAGACTAAAACACAGGGGAAAAAGTAATTACCGTAGAATGATCTATTACCTTAAATCAAATGCAAAATTGCTAAAAACTATACTGCTCTCCTGGGACTTTTCTTTATTTGCCTTCTCTGTTTAAAACCTGTTGTTTACCATGCCAAAGTCAAAGTATCAATCTGGCAGAAATCTTATTTTGAGACACCTCCATCAATAATAGTCATAAATAGAGGTCAGTCTTAAAACTGTACCTGCCCAACCTTCCTGTTCTATCTGCTAAAAGGTTGTACTGGTTTATCAGGTTTCATGTTTGTGCCTCATGCCCAGACTTCAATAACCATTTTTTGTAGATGCTCCCTAATCAGCTCTCAGGGGTTTCAGCAACTCAGAGATCAATGTGTACTATGAGTTTAAAAAAGCATTGATTTCACATAAAAAAAAAAAACTAAGTGGGAGCTGATCATCTTAGTTACACATAATCATCTTTTACACATTTTTACACTTTGCACCATCATTCAAAAAACTACAGAAGAAAGAAAGCAACCACACATGTGAAAATTAAAGTTTACAGCTCATGAGATTTCGCTTTCTGTTCATGTTTCAGACTGTTCATTTAAACCTGTCAGGTTAAGATTATTAAAGATTTGATAATCAGTCAAACTGTAGAATTTTACGAAGCAACAAACGAGAATTAAGAGTTTACTGGCAGATCAGTTCACCGCTGTAGAATCTGGTGCTGTGGAAGATAAACGGCTGATTCAGATATGTTTGGGAAAACGCCGCAGATTTCAGTTCTGACAATAAAAATAAAATACTTGCAAAAATTTCTATAGATTTGCTGCATAAAAAAAATGTGAACTGCTGCTGTGAGGCAGCAGGACCGACCTCTCCCCTTTCCCTAAATTAAAAACTCTTTAAATCTACATGACTCATGCAACATATTTATCAATGAAACAGCGAATTTTGGGCAAAGACGACAAGTTTGCTTTTCTATGTAATCCTGTTAGTATTCACCCTGTATTATTATTTTTTTTTTATAAGGTACCTGTAATCTGATTACTGTAATTTTCTGTAACTGTAACGAAATACAGTTACCTTTTTTCTATCCTGATTACATACTGCTGTCACGTGTATTCTGTTACTACCCAACCCTGGTTACGAATATACAGAAAACGTCTTGTGGGAAACAGCATGGTAGCATCATATAGCACATAGAATAGTTACAGAACTCCAGAAATCAGTAAGGACTTTTTAAATAATACATTATTCAGTAAGTGTTATTGAGTATGCATACCTCAACCGCAGGCACTATGTCAATTCCTACTGTGAGGAACTCATCAAACTTCAAGAAGGGATTGAAACAACTACCTACATCCAGCAGACGCATCTTCCCAAACTGGAAGCTTGAGCTAAAACTGAGCCAAAAGAAAAAGAAAACATATATAATACAGTATACATAATTACTAAATATAGAATTACATTAGATAACTGCAGTTATAGTGTTGTGAGATTTCCCACTTCTGTAACTGAGAACTGTAGCAAACCTAGGCAAAGAGGAGTCTGGTTGATCGTTTAAAGGTGCTCCATTTGAAGCTGCAGCATGTGTTGCTGCCTTCTCATCCTTCTCCAACACCTTTCTCATCCCCCCATCCATGAAGTACTCCTGACAAACACTGATACAGGAAAAATCACAACAAAACAAAAATGTGACACACATTAATGCTGAATTCCTCATATAATACTGATGACCCACCAGCAACAGGCTGGAATTTGGCCCATTACTGGATTGACAGCATCTGTAATCAGCAGTCATTATAAAGTACGATGTAAAATGTCACTTTAAGATTACCGTCTCATTGAGGTTACCTCATGGATTAAGAAGCTGCTTGTGTGTGCAGCACATCTTATATTAAGTTGTTTAAGCTAATAGTACATTACACGCCATTGCTCACCTGCGGCACCACTCGATGCGGCCCTCTCCTTCACACTTCTTGGCCCAGTGGTTGTCAGCAAGACTCTTCATGGCAAAAGCATATTCACTGAGAGTCTGTTCATCCTCACAGTGTTCACGCCATATCTTCTCAAAGTCGCCCACTGCATCCAAGCAGACAGCAATTATGGGTACATTCAGTTAAATAGAGAGGCTTGATAACAAACATCAGCAGATAATAACTTGAAAATGGAAATGGTTCAACATTAAAATATGACCGACATATAGAGTGAAACTTTTCAACTCCTGATGCTTTGAGCTATGCTTTAATAAAGGCTGAAGGCTTTTTCTTTTTCCACCAACTCAGCGTTTAAAGTCTTTTTATTCTGTTAGATTTTTTTTCAATTTAAACTCACACCAGTTACAAGTGTAAGTGTACAGCAATTGATTTATTTCAACATCTGGGTCCTGGGTAGAAAGGACTGCTTCTGGGCCCGACACTTCAAAGTGTGGAAAAGCTATGGTAATTATGTTTAGAGCAAATCAGCTAACTGGCTCAGAATTTTCATACTGATGTATCACTGAGGTACTGACAGACAGCAAAAATCTATAAAAAAGTAACAGCGCTTATGTAATGTAACGCTGGCGATATCGCCATCTAAATAAACATCAACGTTATCATTAATTTACATTTAAAGGGGAATTCCACCAATGTTTCAAAATTTGTTAAGATGTAAACAAATTTTGATGCGAAATGTTCTGTTCTAGAGAAACTTACCGAGCCAGAATTGTTCACAGTGATAGATACCAGACGTCTGAAGCATTTAATATCCCTCAAAACGCTCCCTCACAGACTGTTATTACAGTGATTATGAATATGCTGCCTGATGCCCGATACATTTTTCATGATAGTTTTCAGATAAAATTTTGGCCCAAAAAGTATTTGGAAATCATTGCAAAGAGGCATGCAGAGAAAGGTAAGGCCAAACGAAAACTTGTTCGTTTTTTTTCAGATTTACTGCTATTTTACCATTATGAACATTACATATAAAAACTCAGAGGCTTGTAGGATCACTGGTCGTTTTAGAGAGTAAATATAATGGCTACATTTGCGTTGTAGAAAAACTCTGGTTCCTATCACCACCACTGTAAAGAAATCTGAGTCTGCAAGTTTCTCTGCAATAAATCTTAGCAACTGAATTTTGAAACACTGGTGGAATTTCCCTTTAAGGCAACATATATTAAGTTCATTACAGTAGTATAACATTATTGTAAAAAGCTTGATCACAGCAAACAGGTTACACTGCGTCAAATTAAAGTAAAATTTTTACCTACTTTTGCATGTCAGCACTTATCCACAGCTGATGTGTCATAGTACTTAAACTTGCATTTGACGAGACAGACACCCAGAATCCCCAAAAAACACTCTCTAAATCCACACATGTATTTGATTTATTAAGTAAGCTACAAAAACAGCACTTTGTTTGTGCACATCTAGAAATAAACTTTGCCTTAAAAACAACCTGAGCAGGGCTTGTGAGCACAAGCAAGCTGTCCCATGACCACGTGGAAAACGCTGGCCTTATCAGATTTGAAGAAAATTAGACAACACGACTGAAACAAACTGCATTGCCCTTCTAAGTATGAATATTGTGTCACGATGCCCAGCGGACGAGATCATGCCTTCCTTATTATCCCATCGTGGGGCCTACTGAATGGACTACTGTGTGCTGGGCTCTTAGGCCACGAGCCGGAAGATCTGGAAAAGTTTTCTAGAGTTATGAAATGTTAAAAAGTAGGGTATAAAAACAGAACCATATGAGTATAGAAACTCTTATTATTACACAATATTTTAAACCAGAAGTTTTCAGTAATAATATGCCTGCATCACGTCTGTTTTTGTTTATATCCTGTATAAACTTAACAACAACAAACAAACTGCCATCAACCTCAACACTTCTGTTTTCTTAGTTTCCATGAGCTACTTCCTGTCAGTGACATCACCTGGACCACTCAACTGAAATCATTTTGGGGGCAGAGAGGCACATTTCTAACCCAAGTCATTTACCCTTTGCATGTCAAACAGATGCCTGAATAAGTGTGACAGTTCACCACGGTTCAAAGTGAATGCCACCAATCAGATTCACTCAGATCCAGAAAGTCTTCAGCACCTGTAAACTCCAGACTTTACAAGAAGTTCTCAATCTAACCCAACACACGTCAATTGGCTAAATGTGTAAGGGCTCGTGTGTTATTGGTGTAGATACTAGGATGTCAAAAAATAAATAAATAAAAAGGTAAAAGGTGCAGGTTCTGTCGCCTCACACAAGACTTTGAGAAAGGACTAATGGTGATATTATATAGAACAAAACAAGACTTTACTTTCCACCATTAGGAGGAAAACTGTCTGGTAAACTGAAGGAAACCTAGTGTCCTGCTGTCTGCAGAGAGCTGTCATAACTTGTTAAAACGCAGCAGGCGAATTTGCCTGAGTTAGGCTGAATTTGCACAATGTGCAAATTGTGGCAGCGTGAGTTGAGTTAGCTATGTGCGCAATAGCTGTCAACTGAGCAAGTCCATCATTTTGAAGCAGCCACCCTTTTTCCGAACTTTTAATAAAGGCATCAGTCATTTTCTCTACTTTAAATAAAAAGTTCTACACGTTAATTTTATGCAGTCGCTGTGAATTTAACATGCTGGAGCTCAAAACGAGAAGTCGGCCAACTCGGGGAAAAACAGGAACCAACTATGTCAGACGAAGCTAATGTGAATTTTGTCGTTCCACCTTAAACGGTGCAGCTGCACTATTTAAGGTGGAACGGGAAAATCCGAACCAGAAGCTGGCGAATAGGAAGCCAACTTCAGCCTCGTCTAAGCCAGCCAGCTAAACCTCCATCACCCTGACTATCTAGCCCGAGCTAACGAGGTGAAGAAATGACAGCAGAAGCTAGGTTAGCTAACCTAGCTGCCTAACGAGCAGTTGGTTGACGTTAATATTTCCTGTGACAACTCAGTGGCAACAAAAATGACGAACAATGAATGAGCGAAATGGTGCTGCTTATGCTTTTGTGCCAACTTTTCGTTGTTTTTGAGACAGTCTCGCCTCGGTTCACCAAACCAGACACCGAAGCTAACTAAGCTAGCTAAGGTTAGCTGGCTAACCGCATACCTTCAATATATTTCCTCCGAAGTTTTCGGTGGACGCTTTTCACAACACCCGACAGTTTCTCCTGTTCTTTCTGCTTGCATAGCAGGTCTGTCGGGACAGAGGGGCAGAAAAACTCGGGGTCGCTTTCTGTCTGGGCATTGTTCTGTAAATCCATAGCACTGCTGTTCTTGTGCTGCTGCACCGGCGCGCCGGGTCCGCAAGGGTTGTTTTTTTCCCCACCCGTTTTCCGACAAGCCCCGCCTCCTGTGCGCTATGATTGGCTATCAGCTTTTAATTATAAGCAGCCCAGCGATTGGACAGTTGAGGCGTCTTTCACGTCACCGTAGCAACCATAAAAACAACGTGGAACTTGAGAAGCATCAGCAGATCATAGCGGTTATAAAAAGGACTGACGTGAGATTGATCACAATTTATCACAGCTATTTACAAATAATTACAGGCCTACTGTACATTCATTAAAGTCTGGAAGCCCGTTTCCTCCACTGGAAAAAAATATATAGCCACTTATAAATTGATAAAAAATGAGAAAGTTTTCTACAATAATGACTTACTTTCTCATAATACTGACTGCGTATCTCACAATTATAACATAACATTTCATAACTATGACTTAGTATTAGGATTGGTATAATTCTGAGAAAGATAATTATGAGATGCTAAGTCATAATTCAGATACTAAGTCATAATTCTGAGAAAGTAGGTCATAATTATGAGATGCTATGTCATATTTATGAGATATTAAGTCATAATTAAGAAAAAGTAAGTCATAATTATGAGATATGATTTCATAAGTATGGAACACTATTTCACAATAATGAGAAAATGAGTCATAATCATGAGATGCTAAGTGTAACTATGATATAGTAAGTTACTATTAAGAGACACCAAGTAATAATTATGAGATTCTATGTCATAATTATGGAAAACTTTCTCATGATCATGACTTACTAAAAGGCTATATTTTTTTTCCAGTGGTGGAAACGGGCTTCCATATTTAAGAGATCATTTACAACATTATGCAAAATCATCTCTCAAAACTGTCATAAAACAATATCTCAGATATCAGGCAGTATATTCATAACCATTTCATGTAATATCTCTCTGTGAGGGAGGTTTTAGAGGCATTAAACTCTTCAGACGTCTGGTTCCTTTCACCACCACTGTGAACAATTCTGACTAAGTTTCTCTCGAATGGAGCACTTCACATCAAACCACTCTGAATGACTTGTTACATGTGTATATTTATGCAGAAATTTTAAATAATCTGTATAATTCTCCTGTAACAGTCTGCCAGTGCAGCAGTCAAGACTTTTTGATTTTGTAGGAAACTCAACAGGTCTTTAGCTCTAAACTGTATTAATTTTTTTTCACTGACATGAAGGTTTTAGTCATTCTGATCATTGAATGTCTACTAGTATTGAGTCAAGGTAACATGTGGACTAATGAATGACAATTCTCTCCGTGACTTTAGCAGACATTATAACAGCAGGACCTGGTCACGTACAAGGACCTTACACTTTACTTTGTTGAGGGCTTGACATTCAGCTTATATGAAGGACTAAATCCTCCACCAGGCAACCTGACATTGTGTCAGCTGTGAGGACATGACTTTCTGCATATAAATCAACTCTGCTAAGGTCCTGTTATGTAACATCCATATGGGGTTAGGAATGTCACAGGCACACTGAAGACTGTTACTGAATTAAATTGATACACCATCTGTCATTATACAGATATTAGGTCAGTATGGAGATTTTAAGGTCTCACTGCTGTAAAATCCTCAAGTTTTGATGGAGTACTTTATAGGCCACAGTACAGAAAATACAATGACTGCTGTCCTTTTGTGTTTCTTTTTAGAGTCTGAAATGTCAACATGCTTGCCATTCAGACAGTGTTAATCCTCGAAAGATATTTCTCTGAACTTCTCTGAAGGGTGAGTGCAGCTGTGCATACTGTTCGCTATAAATTTCGAGGTAAAGGTCACAGATATGTTGCACGCTATTAGCTGACCACTTTAAAGCACATGCAGATAATGTTATACAACTATGGGAATCATTAATCCCACTGCAAACTGACTATAAAACAATTCAGTGCTATGATGAACAAGAAAGATGCTGAGTTTGACTCATATGAAACCTGAACTGTCTTTTAGGCAGAGCTACTGTTTAGCATTTAGCATTTCCTTGAATGAAGTAGTGTCTGAATGCTTTGGCTGTGGTACTGTTGTTATCCTGTGTTCGTGCTTGAGGCCTGCTTTTTGATTTCATGTGAATAGACAAATGTTATTATATAAATGGAATTTTTCTGGAATGACCCAAACCCAGACAAAACTAATATAAATAAGCTCAGACGTGTATTATAAGAGGGAGAATATGATCAGGAAAGATAAACAAAGCAATCACCACAGAGATACAGTATAAACTCACAGATAACAGAAAATGATACACGTACAGACGTACGCTCTAACATGTTTGTGTGCTGCATTTCATTAAAAATGTCCTTATTCTTTAAACATAGAGTCATGTTTATGTCCAGCGCTCGACACCTGTGTCTATAGAACTGTCTGACCACAGCAGACTGTTGTGCCAACCTTTTAAACACAAGATAACACACCAGTAGATAAGACTACAACCACTAGTTTTAAGAACAATGAAAAATGGTTTTGTACGTACAAACCTCCTTCAAGCTCCACAATGGTTTTATTAGAAAAAGAACATAAGGTTGTCAGAGTTCAACAACAATCGCTCCATTAATTGTTTTACATTTCAAGCCAGAAAAAGAATAATTTCTCAGTTGATGATACCTATTTTGTTGACACTGTCTATCAGAACACCTCTGACGCTTACCTATGTTGTATACAATTCTCTATGTACATTTGTTTTGAGGTGTCCATTGAGAACTCACCATTATTTCACATATAAATCGCTTAATTGGTTGCAGCCCAAATCTAGAAGGCCATTTCACTGGGTTTAGTTTATCATCAAATGTGTTTATTTTATATGTACTTTCAATTTGAAGCAGTTTTTTGTTCCATGTGGATCTTCATATCCATTCAGACACATGCAATATCCCTTTTTCTTTGTACCTAGAATTATGAAGAAGTTGGACACGGGTCATTCCAATACAAAGCCCTTTCTGAATGGAATAATCTTCCTCTTTTTCTGAGATCTTTCACTTCATTCTGTTGTTTCAGGACATCTTTATTTTCATCTTAAAACCACTGCTTTGAGTACTTTTAATCTTCAGTTCATTTGTAGCACAATATAAACTGTTTCAATTGTCCTTTATGCTGATGTAATTGATTTGTTATCTTGGCTATTGTAGTAAAAAAAAAATTTTTTTATTTATTTTTTCTCTTGTACAACAGCTGAGTGCTCAGGGTGTGGGTGGGAAAGGGCGAGAGAGCCGTCTGTGTTTGTGTATTTGTAGTGTATGTTATGTGGTTTTTGTCTGTATGTATTTTTTAATTCTGTATTTGTGTTTATAGAGTCCCTTTGAAAATGAGATGCTTCATCTCAAGGGGCTAACATTTCAAAACATTCAAATACAAACAGTTGTGAGAATCTAAACTACAATTTGCCAATCAGCTGAAAAAATAACATTCGGCATACAGCAGTGGTTCTCAATCCTGGTCCAGGAATACCATTTTTGAGTTCCCCTGCTTCCAACATACCTGATCCACCTAATGAACTAATTAACAAGCCATTTTTCCTGTTCTACCTTTGTGAGATACACCAGGAAGAACACTAATTCGTCACAAATTCAGGGTGAGCATGTTAACCCTTGCGTGGTTTTGATGTGTTTGTTACTCAGTGGTAAATCAACACAGCCATAAGAATTTATGTAAAAATACCAGATGTTTAAAATATCACAAGTGTCCAGTGCAGGGTTCTCCTTTAGCAGCTGTAGCAGGTCAGCAGCCTGTCCATGTTGTCCACACACATATACAACCACATACACACACAGACACACACACTAACAGCAGGCCACAAAGGAGGAGAACAGAGTGAAGGACACAGCACCTCCACACTTTCACTCCCCGTAGGTTCAGCCCAACACCACGTGTGTAATATAAATGTGTGGGGGGTGAACAGTGTGAAGCCATTGAAAATGTGTTGTTTTATATGTTCTTCATAGAAAATGAGCAAAGGCCAAGAAATTTGAGGTTGAATTAATAATAAATCACAAC